GGGCTCAGCCACCTAAAATCAAGAAAAAGTTTTACAAAGAGGGCCTGCGCTCACTAGAATTCACCACTGTCCGATGTCCGGTACCCTTCTCTGATTTCAAAACAGAAATATGACTTTAAAGCCTGGTTTCCACTTGATCGTTTGGGTCGTTTGGGTCGTCAGAGTCGTTCCTGAAAGACACGAACGACCCAAAGAAGACATTGGTTTCCACCTGGTCGTTTGAGACTTTCGAGTCGTTTGTTGTTAATGCTGTTCATTGCTCGCACCATGCATCGCTCATTTAATTTTGGCGGCATACGTGGAAGGAACGATGGTAGCATTTGATAAACAACAACGCAAAGTCAACTATTTCTACCTCTGGTGATTTTGTACAGACGACGATGTTAGATCACTAAATTTCAGTGCTATAGCTTGCCATGATTTGATATTTTTGTATTTATTTTTAAACTCTTTCCAGTAATTGTTATAATGGCACTCGTATTTTTGAACTTCTTCCATAAAGCTTGCTGTGAAATATTCAGCTATCTTGTTCTTGTTCTAGTCAAACACGTGGTTACAAGAAAATCTCCTATTCTTGAAGAAAAAGTTACTAAAGCGTGGGTCATGGCACCACAAGGGTATATGTTATGTTTTATGGAAACAGTTGAGGGGCAAATTACTTTAAAAACGAAAGTCAATATTTTTGGATTTCTCAAGAATTTCTGCTCTATAGAAGGTATTTACAGATATTCCGTAGTACATTGACTTGTGTTGTTAATTGGATGGATAACATTTTTCAGAGATGGCCCAAAGAAATTAAACCTTTGGAGCTAAGAATCAAGTTAACTGTCGTAGGAGGACCCACCATGGTTGGGTCCGACGCGGAAGAAAATTTTTGAAATTTTATCTTCTAGAAAGGCCTCCCCCAGACTAAATTTAATAAAAAACTAGAATCGCTCAGGATAGAAAGTTCGGCGTTTTTCAGAAGAACACAGATTATTGTTTATTGGGTGAAATTTTCGAGGGGAAGAATCATGCTTAAACCTTAGTGACAGTTGTATTGAATGGTAGAAATTTACTTTCTGAACAGAAATGTGCGTCTTCCTTATTTTGAGTGCTTTCAGTAGGCCATGTTTACACATCAAAAATGAATACATTTTTATGATACAAAAAGTGATTTACTGAATAAAAGCAAATAATAGACAAATAATAGAAATGTACGTAAATAAGTTAGTAAATAGTTAAAATAAAATGACAGATTGCTCTCTTTTTATTTTGTACTTTGTTTTCAAAAATAAAACGGTAAAAAACGGTAGAAAACGGTAAGTTTTTATCTTTTTAAAAATTATAAAAACCCTGCTTACAAAAATAACCTTATTGGCTGAGGTTTGTTGCAATAACATAGAAAAACGTAGTTTGGTTCTAGCCCGGCTACCAGGGATTTCTTTCTTTCAAGGAAAATGATGGTAATTTCTCCAAAAAAATTTTTTTTGCTCCAGATTTTTGGGGGGGTCCAGTCCCCCCCGTCCCCCCCGGGATTTACGGCCCTGGTGGGTCGTTTGTGTCGTCTGTATGTTAGAGTCGTTTGGGTCGCGGAGATAGAATTTTTTCTATCTCTGCGACAACTGTCGCTTGAGTCTTTCGGGTCTTTTGGGTTGTTGGCAGGTATGTTCCCACTGAGTCTTTTCAGTCGTTTGGGTATTTTCCAACGACCCAAATGACCCAAACGACCAAGTGGGAACCAGGCTTAACAGTCTCAGTCTGAAGACGAGGACCGATATTTTTCTTCGTCTGTTGGAGTTGGAGTGGTGTAAGCTGAGGAAGGCCATTGTGGAGGGAATGTAATTAGAGAGTTGTGCAGAAAATGCAGGGGAACAAAAGGACTCTGACAATTTTATATGGGTCTCAGACTGGAACGGCTGAAGAAGTAGCTGAGAGGATTGGAAGGGAAGGGAAGCGAAGACATTTTTTATGTCAAGTTTGTGCCATGGATATGTATGATATGGTGGGTATACTAATTAATTATATTGAAACGGCAAGACTTACAGCAGCGTAAAGGTATACGCTCCTGATCTCTAGTAAAAAAGGCTTCATCATGGAAGCATTTCTCAGTATGCTAGTAACACTAAAAAGGGATCGTAATTAATGGAGACCTGTGATGAGCCGGTTTGCACATTTGGGGGCTCTCAATTCCAGGGTGCATTCCATATGAACATAACGCCCAAGATGTGCCAAGGATAAGCCAGGTGACTGTTATGGTTTATATCCAATCATTACGTCAACCTTTCTGGGGTTGGTTGGACAAAATCTTTAATGGTGGGTAAAATGGCCTTCTGTATCTATCACTGATCTATAAAAAAGACTGGATCGAGCTTCTAATGTGACCAGAGTGTTGCCATCCGAGAAGAGGGCCCCAGAACAGCCCATGCGAGGAGACGGCCGTCTCTGTCACCCCTTACAATGTTTTCAGCTGCTCTGGCCTGGATCTTTTTCAGCAATCATACACATAGCATTGCAGCTCTCGCATATCCATCTTGTTGAAGTATTGGTTATGAGGAATGGCTTCCCGCTATTGTTTGGGGCCCTCTTCCTTTTGAAATTGAACGGGCTTCAAATTTTGGTGTTTCAAGACAACAGGAAGCTCGATCCAGTCTTTTTTATAGATCAGTGGTATCTATTCATTAATGGCCTACTGTATCTTGTTCATAAGCTGCCCTTAATTATAAACAGCAGCAAAACATAAGTCCAGGCTTAGAATGAAATAAATACAGTATCTGTAGATGAAAAAGCCTCTAAATTTGACTTATGTTTGTCTTCATCGGTAGATTTTACTCTGGGTGACCATCCACTCCCTAGTGGGTGACCACCCAACATTGTTCTGTAGGGGAGAGGGAGTGATTGATATTGAACTTGGAAATTGACGTCATTGCTCCAAGGTTTTTGGCAGTAATTATAACTTCACACAAAAGATCTTCAGGATATGCAATTCAATGTAAGCTATCTTGAAAACATTGAAATGTGGAATGTTGGAATGTGAATGTTGAAATGTGGAACCTTTATAACTAACAACATGCTAACAAGTACAAGTTCAAGTAACAAGTACTTGTATTTAATTTGGGTTCATTGATGCAAGAACTTATCATTATCGTTGGGTTCTTCTATTCACATTCCAACATTCCAGCATTACAACATTCCAACATTCCATGTTTGTGTAAAAGTAAGGAAATTTTGAAAATGTAGCATGCTCATAAATATCCATGGGGTATAAGCCCTTTCACATCATTAACATCTATCATATCAAGTCACGGCTTTGCATGCTTGCATGCTTCCCTGTTGGTGAACCCACTCTGGATCTTTCTCCAAGATCTTGGGAAAACCTAAGTTTGTTGGGGTTTTTCTTGGATCTTTATCTTTTTATCAAAAATATACTCATACTTTGAATCAATCAAGTCTATTCATCTACATGATACTTGAAAGGCTTTTCTAAAGGCTGACATACACTGTCCTTTTTTACTTCAGTCTTCACCTAAAAGATGAAAAAACTGATCGTGTATTTTGGAAAAAGGACCATCAGTCATAATTTTCCTTTCACCTGTGCAAGTTGGAGGTGTTCAACTTTTGCAGCAAAAGAGGATAGGTTTTTCTTTTGTCTTTTTGACAAGGCGCTAAAACCTTTTGTCTTAAATGTCTCTATGTTACGTCATGACGTCTGGTTGGGCATCAAACAGTGCTGCAACCTTGATACGTGGTGGTATAGACTAGAGAATCTTTATCAACAGTGCATGGCTGAGAAGTTTATTTAAAATTTCAGGGCTCATTCAAAAAACCTTTCATATTCCTCCTGATCTTTCAAGTGAAACTCATTCAGCAAAGTTGCAAAACCCAGAACTGTCTGTTTTCACACTCTGGAACCACGGTTTCACCCAAACTGCTTTGATTTTACCTTTTTTTGTTGCTTGGCAAAAAGTATCATTAGTAAACAGGCAGCAGCTATTTTCTTTGTTGGCCTACTGGTGAAAAGAACTAAAAGGAGAAGGGATCCCTTTTAATGGATACGTGTAAACAGCTTACTGTCATCCATTTTTTTCATCCTTTTGGTGAAAAGGGACGTAAAAAAAGACCGTTTATTTCAGTCTTTAGAATTATAGTTTCTCCTCAATATGGCTTAAGATCTGTCCGTTTTTCTGGTGCCGAATCCTGGATTCCTACTGCCATGAAAGAATCTCTATCATTGGTTTGCTTTCACAGGCCTTCCCAGGAAAGGCATGCAATCGCACTGGAACGCGCTGGTACATGCCTCCCCACACCGAGGAGTGTGTTTAATCGCACACCTATTTTTGTTATTCTTTGTTTGTTTTTTAATCAAAACACTTGAAACTAACAAGGTGACAAAAAAACAAGAAATTGTTTTGTGTTTTTTATTTTGATGTGTTTCATCGGTCTTGTCCACCATACTAGGTCATCGTAATCATTTTGAAGAGCTTTTCTGGCGACACTTTAATGCAATCAAACACATACCAAATACTCTGCATAAAGGCATGAAATTTTCAAGGGTAACATTTGGAAACAGAACGATAACGCTCTTGCTTCAAAGAGAGGGAAATCTGCTATAGAATTGTTCCACCAATAGGGGCCTCGTCTTTCATGTTTGCCACCTTGGCTCTTCAAAACCCCACAATGACCCATCAGATGGCCCTGCATAAGCATAGAAAAAATCAACAGAGTGTATCACTTTTTCAAATGAAAGCATATGAGGTATTTAAGAGTGACCTAATTTTTAAAGAAATTTTACCAAAAGTGAACAGAGTTTTGTGGATTGATATGTCCCTCGCGAAATACAGCAAAATGTAGGTGTTAACTGCTGTATGTGCACTCAAAGATCCAACAAATTTCAAAAATTTCAAATTGTGTGATACAAAAGGCTGCACAAATTAGAAATTTTTAGTCTGCATTCCCCAATTGTTTTGTAAAATAGCCTTGTTCCTGCTGTCCTGTCCATTACTTTATTGACAATTTTACCACTCTTTAAATAGGTGTATTCAATGTAAAGTCAAAAACAGATTCAAACGGATTTTAAAAGATCCAAATTTTTTTTGCCAAGGTAAAAACATCTGGTAAAAACATCTGATAAAAACATTGAAAAAAAACCCCAACACACTAATGATTTCCCAAGATCTTAGAGAAAGATCCGTAAAATTGCAACACTGCTAGTCAGTGGCGTAGCGTCTATGTATGCTACGCTTGCGGCACAAGCGTAAAAATTTATAGACAAATTCTAAAATCTTGCAACACTTTCAATGCATAACAATTTCCGCAATAAACGGCTTCTCTTTCTTGTCATGAGCAGCATGCAGTGAACTCTAGCGCCAACAGGCCAATTGGCCCCAAATTGGCTATTTTTCCAAGTAAACAGATCGCTAAAAATTATGAAATTCGAAAAATCTGAAAAACTGAAGCCCCTCCACATCACTCTTTTTGCTTGTCTGAAATAAGAGAAACATGTGATGCTCCAGTGCAGCTTCAGTGCAACTCGAGAGAAGCTTCTGAGAGAAGTGAGAATTTTCCGGACTGGAGCTTGCGGTCGGCCTGAGCGCAAGCCTTCCCAAATATTTGATAATCCACAACATTTTTCTACCTATAAGCTGCTTTTTGCGAATACTCTTTGCGTGATACATCATTTCAAATCCAATTATTTTCCTTTCTTTATTTTGTGACTGTTGAAAAGAGAAAAAGTTTCGTCAAAGTGGGTTCAGAGTCTATTTGTCATGATCCGCATTCCGTAATTCAAGTCAAAAGGCTTGCCAGTATAGTCAGAATTCACGGACCAGGGCATGCGGTAGACCTGAGCGCAAGCCTTGCTAAATACATAATGATTTGCCGGGACTAACTTTCTGAAACTTTACACATGGAAGCATCTTCAATTCTAACAACTCTCACAGCTCACTATTTTCATCTTAGTTAACTATGAGAGTAAAAAATGAGCAGAAACTGTTGCTCCTGTTCGCTTAGGCTCTGCAGTGTGTTAACAATTTCGCAATATGGAGAACTCCTTCTTGCGGGAATCCCCAGCTTCATTATAGCATAAAAAATTCTTACATTAGGTGGGCATTAGGTGATGCCTTTTCTTGAGGAATATGAATAAGAATAAAATCTTTTGCAAAGCAGTTTTAGCACTAGGAGTTATTCTGAAAAGTCTTGCTAAACAATTGAGCTTTTTTCAAAAACTTTCGCATGGGTGATAATTTTTCCCTTGGCCCCTCTTCACTTTCCAACCTCTGTCGGAGCCTCTGATGCTAAGAATAGACACCTTGATTGATTAGAATTAAAGTACAAATAATTTGCTACTTTGAAAATCAAAATTTGCTATCACGATTATCATTAATTACCGCTTGTATTTTTTAGAAACTGAAATTACCATTACATTTATTCAACATAGCCGTATATTTTATGTTACCGCATGCCTAAGTTCTGCGCTCACGCTACGCCACTGCTGCTAGTGGGTTCGCCAGTAGAGAAGCATGCAAGCATGCAAAGCTGTGACTTGATATGATAGACGTTAATGATGTGAAAGGGCTGATACCTCATGGATATTTATGAGCATGCTGCATTTTCAAAATTTCCTTACTTTTACACAAACATGGAATGTTGGAATGTTGTTATGCTGGAATGTTGGAATATGAATAGAAGAAATTTAGCCTTGGCATGGTAGCACCTTCCTGTACGATTAGTTCTGGTATCAATGAACCCAAGTCAAGTACAAATGTACTTGTTAGCATGTAGTTATGAAGGTTTTAGAATCCAGCATTCCAACATTCCACATTTTATGTTTTCAAGAAAGCTATTAAATGCACCCTAGACCCAACTGGAAAGAATGGAAAAGTTTTTCTGCAATCTTCATGACCAACCTGAGACCAGCCTCACTTTTTTCCAAACAATGGAGCTTTTAACAAAATGTTTTGTTAAGGGTCTCAAATTTTCCCTTGGCCCTCTTCTTTTGAACTTGTGTCATAACCTCTGCTGTATATAATATTTTGGTCATACGATTGAAAGCTGAAAGAAAATTTGGCTATATCTATTAGATTGTTTCCATTTAAGATAACCTCAGAACTTGTAAATTGAGGTTCGTAAGTGCTAATATTTATTTTATTTTATCACAGACAAAACTGATTAATGAACAGATGGTAATTCTTGTTGCTGCTACTTGTGGGCAAGGAGATCCTCCAGATAATATGAAGGTAATGCTTTGCCAATTAAGTAACCAGAGCATACTGTTTTTAGCATTTAATACCTTACCTGTATGCTGTGAATGCTTGTGCCTGATCTTGAATAGGGATTCCAAAATTAGGGTTACAAATTTAAAGATTTTGAAGAAGCATACTTGTTAAGGCTTCTCATAAGATTCTTTTGGTGGTGAATTGCAGCATTTCTGTCGCACTGATATTGAAATTTTAAAAAATCATTAAATTTATCATGAGATTAAAGATAGTAAAAGATGTCAAATTATGTTGATAGACAAAGCTTAAACAATTGTCATGTAAGGCAGTCATGTGGCATCAAGATACTTGCAAGCCTAAAATATATCTGTCTACTTTATTTTTTGTCCAGAAAAATAGTTTTTAGGTCAACATCGTGAACATATCAGTGAACTGTACCTTGTCTTAAATAAAGTGAATGTATTTATCATACCATTTTTAGAAAATGTGGAGATTCTTGCTGCGAAAAGATCTACCTTTAACATCACTTCAAAATGTCAACATTGCTGTTCTTGGTCTTGGAGATTCTAGCTATGTAAAGTATGAATCATGGTAACTTTTCAAAATTTGAAGCTTAGAATTTTCACCAAATTTAGATTAGCTGGGTTTGAAGCCTCAATCAGAACACACTTTTTCAAGATAAAATAGGAAACATTATATAGAGTTTTCCTTGTATTATCTTGCTATGATATTTGTTTTGGGATTAGCAGCACAATTTTATCATATAGTTTTCAGTCTGATACTTTGTGTGTTATTCTTTTGATACCCGGCATCGGCAAAGGCTCAAGAATTCTATTTAAAATTCAAAGTTAGATGAATTGTAATTTAATATAGCATATCAGTACAATTCTATCATGGTGCAAAAGAATATGCAAATTTTAGCACATTTTTATTATGTTATTTGATAGCATGCCTTTGCCTTGACTGATACACACAAATATTGGCACTAGACTCAACAATGTTTCAAATGCTTACCACCAATGGCATGGGAACATCATATCAAGTGTTATTTTGCAAATTTATTTGATCATTATTTTTAAAACAATGTTTTCAATTGTTTAGATTCAATTTCATTGCTAAGAAGCTCTTCAGGAGATTAACGCAACTAGGAGCAGTTTCTGTCACAAAACCTGGATATGCAGATGATCAACATGACCTTGGGTATAGATAAATCTTTGTATTTAAAAATATTTTGCAACTCAGAAAATATTCTTATAAAATTGTTAAATGTTTTATTTGTATGCTAGAAGCTAATGAATGGTTGAGAAATTTCAAATAATTAGTTCCCCAACAGCACTTTTTATACATTTTCAGTTCTCTGGTATATGTCTAAATATCACGATTTGTGCATCATTTTGCTACTTTATCATTAATCTTTAAATTTGGAGTGTGGATTAAGCATGGTTGTATTACAGTTTGCAACATAATGATTATATTAAACATGCATCTTGAAATGAGTGTAATGTGCTCCCTTTACAGTTCTTTATGACAGACCCATAAAAAAGGAGTTTCATTTTTCTAAAATATCTGCAAAGCTATGTTTTCTCTTATTATATCCACTTTTCGTCTACATTTCTTGAATGTATGAGGCTAATTCAAAGTAGAAAAACAAAGCAGTTCTGCTCTATACTGAAATGTCTACCCCCTTTGGTCAACAATATGATGTCAATTACAGGATTGATGGTGTGGTGGATCCGTGGCTCAAAAACCTCTGGGAGGGCATATTAAGACTATATCCATTGCCTCCTGGTACAGAGGTAATTCCAGCAAATATTAGGTATTTAATATGTTCTTTCTAGCAGCACTCTACTTAATATGCTGTTAGGTGTTTTGTATAAATTTAAACATTGTCAGGAATGAGATTGCCATTTTTTAGAAGAAATTGTTCCTACCTAACAACCAAGCAACGTTTTATCATCAATTTGACAGTCCAACTTCCATTAGTACTAAATTGTTGAGTTGATAATTTATTGGTGGAAATTTTTTAACTTGATAATAGCTGAAGTATTTCCAGAACAAAACCTTAACCGAAAACGTCAGTTTCTTTATGTTTATCTCAAAAAGTCTGTATATATATACTGTATTGACAGTAGGTTGCTATGAAGGACAATGACACTAAATGCAATACAAAGCTTGCAAGAAGGTTATTTATCATCTACAAAATGATTAATGAATAAGTATGTTAATAGATTATCATTGTTAGCGGGTTGTTGAAATTAAGAATTTCGGGGATAGAGTTGTGAGAAAAACGATGGACATTTGAATCCCCTGGATGTTGGACATTTTGAAACAGGCTGTAATTATATTTTTCAGCGTAGCTAATTTCCGTTAAACATCTCAATCCATTTTAAAATGTTTTCCAGTTTAACTATGTCTGATTTTGTCAATTTATGGCAGAACGGTAAGCTGTAGTTTTTCAATATCTTATCTATGAAGGAAAAAGTCATCCTATGTCCTTTTCCTTCTAGTAATTGAAAGCTAAGAAAACAAGTTAGCAGCTCGTCATTTGCATTGTTGCTCTACGAATCCTTATCTTTTTACACTTTGCATACAAATATTGCATCTAAATAAACGAGTTGCATTTTAAACACAGACCACCTTCACGATTCCAAGTAGAGATTTTGCCTTCTGAAGGAGACTCTGTCTGTTCCAATGGTGCGTCGAGTTCAAACAGAATTGGCGATACAGGCAAGTAACATTTTTAGGTAACCTTTTTATTCTAAAAAATGAAATGTCTACTGTTCATTAGGAATGACAGAGAATATACCGGCTCCACTTTTTGGAAAAGCACAAGACTTAGGTAAAGCGCATTTAGCAATAGGTTTGTAATTTGCACGTAGAATCCCGCGTCCATTGTCAACCTTTCAATTTGGTAGTGCGTTGCTATTGTACAAAACTGTGTTAAGACATTTCCCACATTTCTGTACTTGGTCTTCTAGGTATTTGAATTGAGTGCCACCTAGCGACCAAACAAAATTGAGCAATGTTTAGGTTATTTGAAGCGTTTTGTTAAACTTTCTCTTTTTAGTTAAGACAGGAACTTCTTTCAATATTAGATCGATTTATTCCTAGGAAAACAAGGCGATTATTAACATAGAACATTATATGTACAAAATAAAGTGGTGACTGAATCACAGATTCCCCACACGGAATATTTATTTGTCGTAATCTATTAAAATCAGCAAAATGTAGCTACTTGAAATTAAGTTTGTAAAATCATGTTTTTATTCTTTTTTTTTCATTTTCTGTGATACATACCGTTATTGATTCATAGAGCATGTCAATGTATGGTCAAAAGACAATCCTTTTGAAGCAAGGATGTTGTCAAATCAAAGGGTGACAGATACAGACCATTGGCAAGATGTAAGATTAATTGAATTCGACATCAAAGATTCAGGTATAAGGTAAATAATGATTTTATCCTCTACCTTTTAATGCAAAATTTCCTTTAAGAAACTTCCCAAAAAATAAGCGCGAATTTTGGAGAAACTACCTGGTTCTAAAGAAAATTAATGCTCTTTGACCAAAATACATTCTGCTCTAAATTTTTAATCGATAAATACATATATTTTATTTAAAATCAGTACAAGAAAGTAATGCTACCATAGGCTGTACGTCAGACTCTAGATTATTGCAATATATTTGATATCGACAAGATGCAACATCGCAAAACGGCAAAGAACCATTCATTAGAACGGCAAGTGATTTTATGGAATTTATGAAATAATTAATGTTATATAGTGTAATTATTGCTTATAGTTTGTTTCAATTTATCCCCAAACGTTATCGCCAAAAGGTATATATATATATATAGATGATCAGTAAAAAAACAACTTGATTAACGTTTCGCAATATGCTTCTTCAGAATGAATATATATATATATATAAGTATTATTTGATACTTTGTTTGCTACTAGTTAAATTCAGGCATATCTCAATCAGAATGTTTTGGGCAATCTGCTGTATGCAATATTTGCTGTATTTATTTGAGTAAAATGATAATCGTAGTCACAAATATCGTTTTTGCTTACTATTTTTGTTTGTCAAAAGTAAATTCCGAGCATCACTTTTAAACTATTTTGAAACTTTTTGTTGAAGTTAGGGTTCTCGTAATTAATGAAGGATGAAGCCTTTGACTAGTTAAATTCAAGGTTATATTGATTTTTCCTAGGAAAAATTAACACACTTTTGCCTTCGAATTTTCAAGTCGCAGAAGACCGTTTTTAACTTTGCCTATTGTATAAAGTCATCATGACACTGCTTCTAGGGGCTTTCTTTTTTTCGAGAGGAAAACTATTTTATTGATATAGTTATATTGCGAATGGACCAGTGTAGCTAAATGTGTGCTTTACCATGCTAAGCATTCGTACTACTGAGAGGGCAGATCTAAACTGTGAAGGACATAAAAGAGGATCTCCTTCACAGTTAAGATTTGCCCTCGCAGTAGGACGAATGCCTTGAGGATTTAACATAAATAGACTTTGGGAAAGTCTAGTGGAATCAAGAATATCATAAATATAAGAAAGTATCGTGATAATTTATGTAAGGCAAAAATGCATATGCTAGCTTTATTTGTCACTAATCTATCGAAGTGATTGCTGTGGTGAGTTACAAATAGTTGAAACGAAAAGAAATTAGATACAATAAACACATGGGACATCTTCCATTGTGCAACTTCAAGATAGATGATGATCCTGAGTCGCAGTTCCTGTTTGTTCTAAAAATAGCGAAATGCGAGTGTTTATGCCGAGGCCTCTTGTGTTTTGATTGTAGTTATTCTCCTGGTGACATTGTCGTAATTCAGCCAGAAAATTCAGATACTGTTGTTGATGAGTTTACTCAGCTCCTGGGTTTGAACCAGAACGAGACTCTCAAATTCTCATCAAGTGATGCTGGTAAGCTACGCACAAACTTTTTCTGTCTCGTTTTCATGCATATCGAAGTATATAGCATACGTCTGCCTTTCTAAACATGCCTGAGTATTTTTTTTACAGTTTAAGGGATATTCCGTAAACATTGATGTTCAACATATGTGACATGAGCTGCTATGAATTCGCACACAATACATTTATGCATCATGCCTCTATGCGTCTAAGTGTCTCGATACACTTTATGTCTCTGTAGGTCTTAGGGCTGGATGGGACCTCGATCATTTTGTATACTGGTTATTACTGGTTATGCATGGAAAGCTAATATGGCTAGTATGGATGTAGAACAAAAAAGAGGGGGGGGGGGGCACTGCACCGTTTTACCATCAAATCCTGTGTAACGAAGCCAAGATATCTAGCATCCGCAGGCGTTGCATCATTTAATCACCTAATATACATGAAAATTTCACTATTTCAGCATAATTTAAAGAAATACTTAATATCCTCTCCTAGAGAATCCAGTTCCAACTGTCTTGGAAAGGCCCCTCACTATAAACAGATTGGTGAAAACCCATTTAGATGTACAGGGAGTGCCCAAGCGCTATTTCTTCGAGTTGTTGTCGTTTTTCACGCCATCAGAGATGGAAAAGGAGAAGTTATTAGAGTTTGCGTCAGCCGAAGGTCAGGTAAATAATTTGACTAAAAATTCGTAGAAAAGGCTGTACAAAATTTATTGTGGGTATTCGAAATGCACGCGTCAGAGTTGCACAAGAAATCCAAAAGCAAATATAAAGTATAATTGATATTACCCTGGGTGACACACCCATTGGAGCGCGAAAATAGAAGATAGGAGTGGAGAGAAATCCATGTCCCTTCTTCTCTGCTCGACGCTTCTGTACTTCTCTGCATGGATTTAATGTTGCTCTGGTACCCAGGGTAAATGGATATGCACTTTTTCTCCTTTTTTCACCTCAGCAGAGAAAAAGAATTTGAATTTTCGATAAACTTTCTTGTAACAGTGAAATCACAAAACGTATACAAAACAAGCATCTATGAACTCAAAGTTGCAAGAAAAAGCGTTTTCCTCCAGGAGCGAGCTCTTTGTGATCGATCACCTTGTTGTTTCCCAGCCGCAAGCTTTGCAATGATTAAGTGCTACTTTTTCTACATTTTAGTATCTTGATTAAATCTTTTCTTTTACTCTGCATTTCCTTTACGTTTTAGTATCATTTATATGTATCAGCCACATCTATGTGTATCATAATACTGAAAGGCATAATTATATCAAACAACTGGAATCATCTTACTGGATATCAAAATCTATTTCTTATTTTTGCTGCAATAGGTTGTTGCAATAAACGTATGGCCTTTCTGTATGTATTTACATCCATGCTTCATTTAATAATCATCTAAATCTGATTTTTTTCTCTTGCAATTTTTTATTTGTTGTTTAAAGGAAGAGTTGTACAGCTACTGCTACAGATCCAAACGGAACTATTTCGAGGTGAGATAACCGTATCTACATTTTCCTCATGTTCGAAAGATTTACTAACTAACAAAAAAACTTGTGAGTGAGAATCAGGGTTACAGACTACAAAGCTATTCAGTCTTAAGTTCGAGTCACTGCCATCACCAAACTTTCGGGATCTGAATCACGTGGTGTGATCACATTGAGATGAAAGACTAGGCACTGCCTGATTATCATAGCTTCTCTTTGTCTGACCCCCAAATAGGCCCTTTCTAGCTTACATCTACGTTTGAAGTAGCCCCCTTGTGCTAATCGTCTATCTTGAAATGACCTTGTGTTGAAAACCTTGTGGATTTGAAGAGATGACTTTCTTATTTTGCACTCGCAAAATCGTCACTGTCTCACAACTGTCTAGTATCTTTTAATTCTTTTTTCTATATAATGAATTATTCACCGACTCTTTGCAGTAGTTAGCAGCCATAAATGCTATATGACTCTTGAGGGCCGGCCAAGTCAATGAAACAGCATTGAATATTAATCTATTCGTGGCGCGACAGGGATACTTGATTCATTAGAACAAAGTAGTGCACCTGTTCTACATTTTGTTGACTTCGACTGTCTTGCTTTCAGTGCATACTAAAAGTGTTTGTGCTGTTAGATTTAGAAAAGAACGGCCACGGAAACCCATATCTCAAGACATTGTACATTTTTCTTCGAAAATGTAATTTACAGAAGTTGAATCTTCCTAGCCAGCAGAACCATTCACATCCTAGCAAGCAGAACTGTTTACTTGCTAGCCAACAGAACCCTTTACTTCCTTAGAATACAGACCTAGTCTTCCTTTAAACAGGCACAATCCTTGTCAATAGTCAGTGAAATGCCGTGTTGCTACTCTAATAGGAACCATGTTTTATTCACTGAAGTTCTGAAAATTATATAAAAGGTGGATTTATTGGGGGTAGGACTAAGATGCTATTGACAATTTTAAGAAATCTTCTCTAGTAAATAGATTTTTGGTAGTGAATTGAAGACAAGTAGCAAAAGCTTTTATTTGCTGGTGGAAAAATTTTTCGTGAATTTTCATATACTTCTTTTACTGTTGAATCCGCGGTTTGTTAATTTGCCAACAAATACATCAATTATGTGTATATGTATATTATTTTTCTAGTCAGCTGCTTTTTTACTAACCTCTTCTCAGTTTTACCATTCCTTGGTCCGTTTTTTACAGGTATTTCAAGATTTTCCACACGCTGCAGCAAGCATTCCAATTGAATACTTAATAGACCTGATCCCAGCAATAAAGCCTCGATCGTTTTCTATCGCGTCCGCTCAGCGGGTATGTTTTTAGACACTTTACTTTAGTGGCTTGTATAGAATACATTTCGCTGTGATAATCACATTTATTGATCGTGTAGTGATCATTGTATGATTTATATTTGATTCATCACTTTCAAATTGACGGTGCAATAAGGGTGTTATGTAAGTTATCGATGGAGATTAGGGAAACTATGTCACAACGCATTTCGCTGGCCATTTAAATTTCCCTTTGGTTGAACCATATCAACTATGGTTGGACAACACAATGTACCAAATTCATAATGTTTCTCGATCATAAACGTGCTGCCAAACCTATTGTTAAATCTGAACGGCTGACTGACAGTGCCTTTAAGCTTGGTATTTAAAGGAAAGTTTTCAAGTTCTTGTTTTCTTGCAATCCATTCTCACCAAGACAAAATTTCCAATAATGTATTTGGTTTTTTAATATAACAGGTGGCAGCCACATTTTCAAAGCCCTGCATTTAGATTGGCTACCTTCAATACTGAATAAACCAATCACAATAGACTTATTTTGAAGATGCTGGATAACCTAATTTCCTTACTTGTTATCATTGTCTAAAATCTTTTGCCCAGAAACATAGAAATATTTAATAACTTACAGTTTCGGCACATGTGATAAAAGGATTAATTTGGCACACGTTTGCGACCTCAGTCTTATACCGCATTCAATTACTAAATTCGAATTTAGGCAGATGTTCGCGATAGACGATTTATGTAGATCATTAAGACTATCGGCATACAAAGCACGGTTATACTGCAGAAATAGTAAACATGACAAAAATTTATTGTTGGTTTACTGCTTTTTCGCACTGAGCTTGATTGTTGAAAGAAAGCCCACACCCTAATGCTTAGATTAGAAAACTTTGTTGATGGAAGGTGGTTTACAAGGCTGAGCTTGTGTTATTTAAAATTTGATTTGATCCTTTAAATAATTTAGTGTCTAAAGGCATTTATCTTTAGTAATTGCCTATGTCTGGACAGAACCTTTGAAAATCCCAATCACGTGAGCTATTAGATAGAGTATGAACCTGTTTGGTTGAAATGTCGACGTTTTAAATAACAACATGGTGACTTATATGACATGATCGGCCATAATAAGGATACGGTCTTGCCCTAGGTATATATAAAGATTTTTATCTTCTGGATTAGCAGGCTTCCGTGCAAAAAATTATGCAGAATAGAACAGAAGACTTTGAATATGTCGAATAAACTGACACAAGCGATAAGTTTGCTTCATATGTAAAAAAATCTTCAACAAAGGCAAAATTCTACTTAAGTATATGTGAAATATGTAAAATATAACATATAAACAATTATACTTAAACTTTCGTCGTAATTAGCTATGTTGAACTAATTTATTCCACTTTTTGCAAATGCATCAAAGTATGGATATGGGTTTGGCATGGATGTTTATGAAGTTGCAAGTTAAATAAACTGCACGAAGTAACTCTCTAAACTGACAAACGGTCTTGGAAACAAGGTGCTGTAATTTGTGTCAATAAAATGATACGGTAGCAAATCAAGAACTGTGTTTGCCAAAAGGCTGCGTTGGCCGGTCAGTATTTTGACACTGCAAAAATCTCTAGAACTGTACTTTTAACCGATAACCAATTACTGACGGCACATCTCCCTTGCAGGCACATCCAGATAAAATACAGATATTAATGGCAGTTGTCAAGTACAAGACCAATCTTCATCGGCCTCGTTTTGGGGTTTGTTCAAATTGGTTAGCCTCGTTTAACGAAAAGGACATGAAAGCAAAGCGTATACGACTGTGGGTGGCAAAAGGCACCATTACAATGCCAAAGAGCCCGGCAACACCAATTATCATGGTTGGCCCAGGTAGCTATTTAATTTCATGTGCAGATTGCACTTGAATTATTTCCTCGACTGTAAGGCATGAAGGGGATACTGGTACTACAATTAGCCCCCCCCCCTGGTGCATGTCTGTTACTTATGACTAGTTAATTTAGGTTCAAAGCTGCACACATTTTTACCTTGTCCTTTGATAAGTCATTTATTGAAACTTTGAAATGTCTGTTTAAAGATCATAGTCATTCAATAAATAAAAAATTCAGTATTTTAATGAAAGCTATTCATTCAAAAAGATTTTCGGTTATATTCGACGCATATCAGGTAACAGTGTTCAGGCGTTTTCATTATTTCTCTAACAATCATCGACAAAATTTGTTCAATACTTGTTCAAAAAGCTAATGTCAAGCAAAACCATAATATTTTTCAAGCAAGTTATTTTTGAAATTTTTTTAGCTAATTGTTTCAGCTAATTTTTTAGCTAGTTGCATCACTAATAATCGTGGCTACTCCCATTGCTGCAAGCAAGGGCGCAAGTTGTTGTTTGCCGGAAGCAAAAGGAAGATACCATAAGCGAGGCAAAAAACGTTTTGGGTTTTTTTCAAACGTTCCAGAAATAAAAGCCATAGACTTAAAGCATTTAATTTTGGTGTCTGTTTTAAAATTTCTGCCTTAGATGTTGCGAAAATGATATGAATTCGATAAAAATTTATCTCTTAGGTACTGGAGTAGCACCCTTCCGAGCGTTCCTAGAGGACAGGGTATCGCAAAAAATCAAAGGTAACTAATGTAAAATTTGCATCATTACAACGTCATTCTTTTAGACCGTTTATTTGTTGACCTTTGTTTCTTTGTCATTGTAAACTTAATCAAAGAAATTAAATATACGTGAATTTTATACATTTAAATCACTATTAAAGCATGGAGAAGATAGAAACTAATGACTAACTAGCCAAGTTTTCTTTCTGATTTTCACAACATTTCTTGATTAGACGACCATGATAGGCTTGATATTTGTTGACTTTTATCTGTGGTTTTATGGAGCTGGAAGAATCCAGTATTCATTTTATTACCGTTATCTACAAGCACCATATTGTAATGAAGTCATGTGACTTATCACACCATTTGTTTGAGAAACAGCCCCAACAATGAACCTGAGGAAATGTGGCAGTAATCTTTTAAACGGTTAGTTTTAAGGCCCAGCCCAGGCACCCCGTATACACTTTTTTCTTATTTTCATTAATTCTCAAGAATGCCTTAATTCTTGCTGAGACTCAATGTTCTTACAAATTCGTGATCCTGAGCCTAAATTTCTTCTTAAATCATTCGTAAGCCACACAAATTTGGCAAGAATTGAGAATAAAGCACGTATTTGAGAATAAAGTTACTAATTTTTTATTCTTCAACGTGAAATATTTCCGAAAATGGAACATACTAGCACGCTACGAACTTGGCGATGATGAGTGTACTTCGAAATTTTCTGTTGTCTGTTTATTCAAATTACTCACTTAGGTACAAAGGTATATTTGCAATGAAATTTGAGCCAGGTAATTATTCTAGATAATTCTTCGATTTCACCGATTTCGAGACTCGAGAAGAAAATTGCGTGCTTAAAAAACGAATGCCTTTCACCTTTCATAGTACTGTCATTGCAATGCATGCATTTGTGTAAAAATGCGTTGATGAGCAATTGTACTTTTCACCTGATTACTTTATTGCAATTATTGTTTTTCATTAGGTAATGTTCTTTTCTTTGGCTCCAGAAACAAAGAAAAGGATTTCTTCTTTGAAGGACAGTGGAAAGAGTTTCAAGAGTCTGGGTATTTGCAACTTTTTACGGCATTTTCTCAAGATCAGGTGAGCTGCAGTTATATCAGTTTTGTACTGAATGCATCAGATCACCGTTTTGGGTCCTCTGATATGAAATTTATTTGCCATTGACTGTAGATACATTAAGAGCCAAATATTTCAGACGCTAATATTCTCAGAAAGTAGGTACATGGCCAAATTTTACCGTCTGAAATATTTTGTGATCCTAAGTTTTTACCATCTGAATTTTTTTGCACTAAAAAAAGTCAGAGAAAGGTTTTTACCTGTTTGTTAATTGAATATTTTGCTCATTAACATTTAGCATATAAAAAAATGTGTTGTAAGAGCTAGCTACAAAATGAAACAGTATCATATCTTTCAGCCAAACACATTTATCAATCACGAAACATCCTCATCATCCTCAACAATTATTTTATCGTCCTTTGTCATACTGTCTGTCAAACAAAATTTATGCTATAAGTGTTTAGCACAGGACGGTTCTAAGTTGCTTAAACTGGATGATACTAAGTTTGTTATAGAAAGTTATGCGTTTTACTTCTGCATAAACAGTTTGAAGCAGCCACTTAAAGGCAGTGTGTCCCCTCCGTGATTGGTTAATTCTACCTTGAAAGCCTCGCCTTAAAAGAGGGTCTTCCTCCGACATTTTAGCACCCGACATTAGTTTTGTGGGTGACCACGACAAAAATGCCTAATCTTTATTTCTCCGAAATGTTCCACTCCAAAACAAAATTCACAGCACCTCGCCCAGGGAGAGTACGCTATTGTGGTTCTTCATTCTGATTGGTTACGGTTCTTCATTCTGATTGGTTATTTGTGTATTAAACCAACGTTGCATATGGTGGCCATGAAAAGAGATTCTGAGAACAATGTGGACACATTGCCTTTAATGTCACCTTGAATATGAATTTAAATTCCCGCGGAATCATTTGTAATAAAACGGTAAGCTTGTTTATCTTGTGATGGTTCGCATTTCTTCACAGTCTTGCTTTGAAAAAGCGACTATTTCCAGCTTATTGATTTCTTGCCATATAATATTGCTTAGTATCAACATTTACTTAATTGTTGTACCTGACAGTACCAAGCTTGGAATGTTTATTCCAATATGTGGTAAATGTACATGCTAGAGTATCTCAATATTGACTGTCATCTCGCTGCAAATTACACACAATATTAAAATAGCATTTTGTTTGACTGTCTAGTACACAAATGTCAAGTTTTTGCATGCACTAACATAACTTTAGACAATCTTTTTGTGGTACAGAATTTAAAAATTAGCTTTTGAAAAACTAAAACTCAATCCTTTTACCCAGAGTGAGGAGAGTCGCTGCGTAGGAATTACGAGGTGTGGTCACATCGAGATGAAGGACCAGAACACTGACCGATAAGCATAAGCTTCTCAGTGTTTTAAACAATTACCTTTGAATGCTAGGTTTCTATAGGCATAGAAGGTAAAAACTAAAAAGCCATTGTGTGAATAAAAGTGTGAAATCCAAAATGGTGGATGGTTATGTGTGCCCCTTGTATGTTTTGATCAATTAGCTTGAAAATGAGCAGAAAGTGATAAAAAAGCAACTCATCAGCCAGAAACCCATGAGGGACATTTCGGGGCTTTAATTCGGTATGTCCATTTTTCGTAGGCGCCCCTCGCAATCCTGCGTCCAGGACCACGATTTCAAATATAAGGAAATACAAATAAAAAATGTGTATATTATAACGATCAATAAAAAGTTGCAATCGACTCAGAGTGCTTATTAAAGATTTTTATGCCGGTAGAAACAAATACTTTGAGAGTGTTAGACGAAAGCTTTGGTGTTGTCTCTCAAAATGTTTGCTTTTTTCCAAACCATTTTAAAACATTTTCGACATAGAGCCTCTTGAGGTTCCTCAACTTCGTCTCATAACCATTAAAACTGAGAGCAGGACTGGAGGTAGCCTGCGTGCAGGCTCTACGTTCCTGACAAGGAGGTACCTCTGGAGGAAAGTAGGTTAAAGGTGGCAGTTTGTTGGCAAAGTTATGTAAACTAGCAACCATCTTTAGACACATGAAATTGCATAAGCTGAATTAGTCCAGACAAGCAATTTGTCTTCCTTATCGTAATATTTGATAGACACTTAATTTTAGCAGGACAAATATTCACAAATGGCAAGTAAATGTCATTTGTGAGAACGATTTAAATTGTTTTCCCCTTTTGTTACACCAAGGAATTCTTAATTAGGCACTGTGACAATGTTGAGCACCATCGTTTTGGATACCATGGATCGGTACTTTTTCCTTGCGATTTGAATGTCAGATTAAACAGATTCAACAAAATATTTCTTTGATGTCAGTCTGTGTATTATATACAGCAGAAGGAGAGCGCTTCCCTCCATTCACAAGGATTACTATCCAACCAGAAGCATGTAAAGCAAGGGAAAATTGGGGGTCCAAACCCTTTTAAACACCAGTGAACACCATTTTTCAAGGACATTTTTTACCATTTTGGGGGGGGGCGGAACGTCTGCCCCCTCTTGTCTTTTCTATGCCGTTTGTTCCAACCGCCCAAAAGAGTTTTATCATTTATGAATTTATGTGACAGCGTGATTCTGGCTGCGTAGAACACTGTGTTCTGAACACAGAATGCAAAGATTTAGAGAAGAATGAAATGGCATGTCCCTTACCACATTAGATAAACTGTCCCCAAGCCTATTCGGTCTTGCAAACAAAAAACAACAACGAACATGCGATTTTGCCATCAGGCAGCATAAACTAGACAACTTAGTTTGTGCCAAAAACTATGAGGGCAAAATGTTTTGGATTATTGGTAGAGCCAAGTCTCTGTTATATTTAGCAGTTTTAGAATCTATTTACATAAAAATAAGAACAGCGTATACAAAAGTAGTTCGTTTTCACCTCAGGTTTCCACTAGTAACATTTCAATGGGCAAGCTGCACTGATTGTAAAAAATTTGCAGTTGTGCTCGGGTTTCTGATTGGCCTAACTCAGCTCATAACTGGGTCCGATCTAAGTTCTAAAATTCATAATCCGAAGAGTCAAATGAAACCCTTCAATGTTTTGCAAAATGTTTGCTATTTTAGTGTCATTTAAATTTTTGAACAATCAAAAGATCAATGATTGTTTTTTCTAAATCACTTATGTTTATATTTGTCATTTTGTTATGCAGGAACAAAAGATATATGTACAACAGAGAATAAAAGAAAATGCTACCTTAATTTGGAACATCATTCATTCACAACAAGGATTCTTTTACATTGCAGGGTAGGTTTTGAACTTTCAATTTCCAGACATGCAAAATAAATATTTAAATTTTTATGAACCCACTTATTTTTAAATGTTTGTTTTGCCAGGTGGTGCAAGGCATGCCTCGTGATAGGAAATCATAGCCTTCAACTGATCATGGATGTTGAAACTTCTAGTCCTTTTTCTGTTCGTTTTGTGATTTCTTTGGTCTATGAAATTGATCTTCCTGCCCACTGTTCTTCAAAGGACATCAAGAACCATTATTTTTTTCTTCTCTTTCCAGCTTATTTATTCTTTTGAGTGCTCCTGGTCACATTTACAGAAACTCTTCTAAGTAGGCAGCAAAATCAATGTTGTCATTGCCAAAGTCAATCCTTTTGTCAATCTTCTTTCAGCTTTCTGCATCAACCTGCTTTGTGATATCATCATTGCTCCTATAGAGCAAGATTTTTGCATCATCTAATAATTGCAAATTGTGTAACTTAATCGCATAATACATTGTAGCATACAGTTGCCTGATCTTATAAAGCATGGACCACAGGAGTTCAGCCTAGCTCCATACCATTCTATACACCAAATCATTAACAGCTCTGCCTAAACAGCAAAGAGCATGGCAGTAAATAGTTTTTTTTCATATTATAGTTTATATGTTTATATCTATAGGAATGCAAAGGATATGCCAACTGCAGTTATGAATAGTTTAAAGGATATAATCAGAAACGAGGGATGCATGTCCACTGAAGAAGCTGAAATGTACTTCAAAAAGTTAGATGCTAGGAGGTATTTGCAATGTGAGACATGGTCATAGCCTTGACTATAGTGTAAGTTTTTTTAAAAAAAAATTTGTTTATATAGTAAATCTAAAAGAAAACAGCTGTAGTGTGTGTATATATAATTATGTTTATCATCTAGAAAAACAGAAAGTTATGATATTTTAAAATTGGTACATGATTGTCAGCATAGTTCCAATTCCAGCTGCATTCTTAATAATATGAATAGTTTTCAACAATAATGCTTTCTTTCTTCAGTATAAGATGAAACTTTTTTGAAATTTTATGATCTTGAAATGGGATTATTGTAAGACAGTTTATGAAATAGGTTTATGATGAAACTTTGCATGGTTTTGACTTAAGGAAAAAATTTAGGAGAGAAGTATTTTATTTGTATTTTGTTTGGCAGTGTCCATATTGGCAGGGTTCCACTGAGGGTAGCGTTGCTAAAAGTTCTTGTTTCGAGCCAGTCACCAAATCGAACTTATGCATTCAACAGTGCCAATACCAAATTTGTTCTCAGAAATTATAAAAGTTCAGTATTATTTGGATTAAATCTATGCTTTCTCTTGTGTATTAAAATATTTGTTCAAAAAATTCTTCGTCTCACTGCACCTTAGATGTTGTTTAAACTTTTAAGATTCATCATTATTACAAAATATTATAGAATCACCTATTATCCAGTTTAAGGTAAGAGACATTGATATAGGTACAGTGGCGGACTGGCTCAGAATTTTTAACCGGCCATGAAGCACTGAGGGGGGCCAGATGGGTGTGGTATGAAAACTGGGGCATGGTTAAATGAACAAACACTTCTAATTCGATCAATTTCTAAGCTGCATAATAGCAGAGTTGTCGTGTTGATTTCAAATGGGTGCAGCGTACTCTAATTGGAATTTAACATGAAATAATGAAAATTCGGTCTGATTAGGATTCCAGTAATTTTTCGCAAGATAACTTCTCATAGAAAACAAAGTTAGAATAGCCAGAAAACTGACCTCAGATTCATAACGAATAGTAAGTTTAAAATGAAAGGATATCTGCGGTGTAAGGAAGCCTCATCCCTACTGAAACTTAAACTAAAGTTGACAGACCTAAACGCAAACTACAAAGATGGGGCTCCTATGAACCTGAAAATATACTGATTATTTTCGCAGAAGGTGTGGCTCCTATGAGGAATACGTCTATTTCTTTATCCAAATTTCTATCAAATACTCAAAATGGAAAAGACTGGTTTAGCGCCAAGAAAGCCAAAGCTCTGAAAATATCAACAAAACACTACAGGTATTTCTTAAACCAAGGGATTGAATTTACTTAAATTAATGGATTGCTTAAGCGTAGCATCAAGCTTGTTGTACCCAGTTGCGAGGTGACTGCTTTTTTATCATTATCAGATATTCTATGGTAACAGTCAGGGACGCCTGAGAAAGGGGTGGGGGCCACCACCCCCTTTGCCTTTTGATAAGAAGTTAAGAAGTTGCCAGTGTTTTAAAGTTAACTACTGAATCACAACTCCTTACTTTGTTGCTAGCTTCAACCCTCACAACAGGCATAATTTTGAGTGAAGTCTACAACTAATGTTGTGGATGTAAACTGAACCTGGGTTTATGAAAAATCAAAATTCTAGAAAATTCCATCATATTGAAAAATTTCAAATCTCTAATTACCTTACATAACCTACATAAGTCATACATTTTTTAATTTTGACCCAATATTTTTACAACCACATGCAATAATGCTATATTCAACCTCAATTTTGATGTAATCCATGGCGTTTATCACTAGTAATGGGGTATCAAAAAGCCTCAAATTTCTAAAATGGGTCCCTTTTCCTACAGAGATGGGGCCCTTTTGCCAGATTCTAAAGGGGGCCTACCGGCAACGGTGCGGTGGGCCAGTCTGCCACTGTATAGGAACAAAGGCATAGGTGGTATTTTATTTCCCTTAAATCTTCAGACAAATATGAAATTGATGAAGTGCCAATTTGCACCTTCCTAAATATGGTTCGAGAGACAGATTAACTGAAAATTCTTGCAAAATTCTTTCTTGTCTTAAAATATGTCTTCCTTGCTTTCTTATGCAAACAAAAAACTCATAACTGTATATATACTGCTAGAATTTTCATCCATAAGGATATTGCACTTTAAGTCAAAGCACTTGTTGTCTAGCATGTTATGCAACTTCTTTTCAAGGCATGAATAAAAAAGACAATTATTAGATAAAAAATATCAATGATTATTGAAATTAATTTCTCATTCTAATTATCTTTAAGGCTCTCCTTATCTTTATTATTTTAATGATATAAAAATATAACATAGAATTCGTTTATTTAGACCCACTAAATTAATTACAGCAAAATAATAATTTCTTGGAATTTTTTTGAATCTACAAGGGGCCTTTGCTAGCAGCCAATAGGTTGTTGGCATTGTTTATTTGAAGATGAATGCAAAATAAATTGAAAATATGTAATCAACTCAGGGTTGCAATTTAAATGAAAGTACTGCATCATGTTTTCTAGTTTTGTTTGGTTATATTTACCTAATCCTCACATAAGTTGAAAATATCAAAATTCTTTTTTAAAACAAACCTAGCATAAAATTAGTTCTTGCTGGCATAATCACAAGCTGCCATTAAAATCAGCTATTGTATACCAAAATATAGTTTGGAACTATCTTAAACAATTTGTTTTCTGGCTTCAGTCCATAATTGCTATTTTTCGTTTTTAGTGATTTATATGAGACTTTTTATGTTAAATTTTGCTCTATTTTGGTAAGAAACTAAAGAATATGTTACTGGTGATTACAGAGGGTAAATTAGCAAAACGAAAAGATCCAAGTTAAATTGCAATGCTTTATGTATAGGGAACTATGAATAAATAAAGTCACAATCTTATAATTGTGCCAGTTTACTGACATATTTTTGCGGTTAAAGACGAGATCACTGATGCTTCCTATTAATTACAGAAAAAATTTGATTTAGATATAAATTCATAAATTGGGAATTTGGGCAGGTATCTTGAGTGCATATTACAGGATATAAAGGTATTGTTTACATGTAGACAGAGCTGAACAAAAAGTACAACAGGTTCTTTTGCCATGTAAACAAAACTCGTGACCTTGCATTGGTTGTAAGAGATAACACATTTTGTGCCCATAAAACGATACCAAAATAGCACAGACATCGTTGTCAAAATTCCAAGAACCATTTCTCAAAAAGTGTTTGGGGTTCAGAGTTTGCTTTTGAAAAAGTTGGTAACATGATGTTTACGCATGGCGTCATTTATGTAGCATGGTATATCCTAGTTGACTTGGAATTTTAAAATATACGAAATGAACTGATTAAGTTGACCAGGACTGCTCCCAAAATGTAACTGGGAAAAATGAGATAAGAAGGTCTGCTTTTTGACAAAAACTAGGTTCAATTTCACGTCGTGGTATTGTAGTTCCGGTTGTAGCAAAGCCCCAATCAAGTGTAAAATTGTCTTCAGCTTTTAAGGCTTAAAGTTTGGGCTTTTGATGTTTCTTTGTATTATGCTGACTTCCTTTGCAATCATTATTTCGTCCATTTAACTCAGCAAAATATCCATATTGCAATTATCAAGAATGCCAGTGTGAAATCCATGTAGTAAAACGACAGGAAACAAGCAAGGACCATCGCGACAAAACAGCTTGCTGCCACGTGAAGCTGAAATTGACGCTTGTTACCATCGCTGCCATACGTAAAGTCAGTCGCAATCGTGCGAAGGACGAATGCTAGCTCGTCTACTGCCATTTCATTCGATAAACGAGGCCACGTATCTGTGTTACATCAGAAGAAAGCTTTCAGTCGATCTCTTGACGTCCCCATTAATTTGAGCGGAAATCTGTTGTAGTTGCTATGGTGAATGTTTTTCTTGAATCGGTAGCATAGGCTGCCCAACCCAAATTTATATTGTTCTGCAGACACAGGTATACCTTCACGAAGTTTGAGGACCTCGAAATTAGAGTGCATTCTCTCAATGAGATTTCAACTAATTAAGAAATCAAGCCAATTACAAGAGATCGGGGGCGAATACTTAGTTACGATGCATGTTAAAACAGAATCTTGTTCTCCTGCGCCTTATTGTCAACGATGTATTTTGAAATTTGAGCCGGATCTTGAATTAACCTCAAAAGGCTGGAAAATTAGACACTTTGTGGTAAGATCCAAAGGTCGTCACCCTAACACATCTAGCCGACGACAAATTGCCCAATGGACCTAGAGGTCCAGTGGGCCTCATAAAGCAATGAATTATCTCGAGGATGGAATTGATCAAACGTATTAAAAGTATGCCTAAAAATAATAAAACGGTTAAGCACGAAAATAAATTAAGAAATTTTCTGGAATGTCATTTCAGCTATTATAAGGACGTGTTCCCAAGAGTTTTCCATCTTTCAGTTTTGCCCCAGTGCCTTCAAAACCCTCTAAGTTGCAAAGGTTTTATCTTTGGATTAATAAATGTTCTGACTGTTGTTTTTGAAGAACATGTTAAGAACTTACACTGGTGTGATTTGAGGAATTTTTCGTCATACCTAATAAACTGAGACTGTTGACTTCAGTAATTACTTTACTGTTGGCAATGGTGAATTGCACTATACTGTACTTTTGAAATGTAACAATTTTTTTATTCTTGGACACACATTTTGTTTTAATTTTGCAAAAAAATATTTAAATAACTTTCCTTGCCTGCCACCTTTCCTCCAGATGGTAGCACTTGGAATAACCGCCACCGATTCATTAGCATTTTGAAGGGATGGTGATAAAACATTGGTAAAAATTAAAACATCATGATCAAAAGTTTAACTTTAACTCTATCAAGCACTTTATATAATATCTTATTTCTATACAAGCCCATCACAGTTCTCTATGACTGGGACTTTACACCCTTCAATGATCCATGAATCTTTTAACTTGAAGTATAATCCTTTTAATGGGTTAACCCCTTCACCCATTGCAAGCATTGGTCATTTCCTTTTTCATGCATCCTGCTAATTTTCCATAAAAATAAAGTTAAACTCCATAAACTGGTCATATCTGCATTCAGCTAAACTTATTGAGGAATCTACTAGTAAACATAAATAGTCTTACCAACAGCATGGGGACCAAATAAGGGCAACAGTGAAAGTACTACATTAGCTATAAACATCGATTCAGGTCATGACATAACGTTTATATTTTACAAATATATTTTACACTAAAAGTTTAGTCCTCCTCTTCAGGTTGTGCTTTTATAATATAAATATCTTGTGTTGGCCTGTAAACAAATATTGGAAATATGACAAAAAATATATAAGAATATAAGAAAATACAGAAGAGCTTTTTATTTAATACACAGTTCTATTCTATATTTCAGAATTAATTTACATCATTATAATTAATGATATCAAGGCATTACAAATAAGATAAAAACATTTTTAAAAGTTGGACTACAGTGAAAGGTTGATTAAAAAAATGATTATGCATAATATGGTTGTTTAAATTATATTGAAAAGTACTTGAAGATAAAATGCAAGCAAAATAGGATCACATGCCTGTCCCCATTGTCAGTTGGCACTTGTCCAAGTCTTTTAACAATTTCCATCCCTTTTGAAACTCTACCAAATATTGAATGTCTTCCTGTGAATATGCGCAAAGGGAAATTATCAGATATCGCAGTTTGGAAATCACAGATCTCCTTGCATTACATGTGAATAAAGGATTTGATAGAAAGATTTTGGAAGGGTTTTCTATAAGTGGACCAAAAGGGAAAGAGCAGGGAAATGTTGAGGCCTGCAGCTATATCCAGGGAGGTAACTGACCCTTTGATAGGAGAATCAAGAGGGGAGTGCCCTTGACATCATCCTTGATTACATCTTCTAAACAATTAATAACATTAAGGACAAGCTAAACTTAACATTTAACAATAAAAACCTTATTAGGGGTATTTTCTGTAGAATTATCTAGGAGAAGTGAAAAACCATGTCTTACCATCTAACCACTGGGCTGGAGCTAAAGTAATGAAAAACTGACTGCCATTAGTGTTTGGTCCGCTGTAAGATAAACATTTGACTGGGGTCAACAATTTGCTTATATGTTCCTACTTTCTTAAATTTTAATGGGAACCATGCCACCTGGGTTGATCTATGCCAATTTTCAACATCTTGATGGCTGGAATTTTAAACATCCTTTATACCCTGGCTATTATTATATCAACAAAACTGAATATATGTGTTTTGTTCAATTACCAGTATTTAAATGTTAGTCTAACTAAACCAGTGGAAATTAAACTTTAAATTACAGCTACTTTCTTAGTCCAACAAATAACAATTAGTTGACTGTGTTACATTCTACAAATAACATTCTTTCCTACTTAGGGAAGTTTGAATTGTTGCAATCCATGGTATTCCCCCCTTACAAAGAAACTGTCCTGTCATAAATACATCTTATCTATAGCTAAATGCTCATCTAGAAAACCAGCACAAAATTATCTAAAAGCAAAAGAAATCCAAAACCTTTGGAGAATAGTTGCCTGTACCTGTTTGCCATTGATAAAATACCAGCTCCTGTGTGCTTTAACTCTCTGTGAATTTCATCTTCAAAAAGAGGACTAAAAAAGAATGCAGGAATTTACACATGATTGAAGGAATTTACACAAAAAGGCACAAAGGCAAGCGTAGTATTGAGAAGAGAGCAAAACAAAGTGCCAATAAAATAAGTTACATATACACAAGGTTATCATAGTTATGTTTGCAGACTTACCCATAAATTGATGAGCCACCTCTCCCTGTACCTGTCGGATCTCCTGTTTGCAGCATAAAGTCCTAAGGTTTAAAACAATTATCTTAAAGCAACCGCAGATGATAGAAATATGTTTTCCAATCAATTTACTGCAGTAAAGATCCCTTTCACATGAAAGTAAAGTATATAGATTTCAAATAGCTAAGTTTGACTTACAAGCAAAGCCATTCAGCAATTTTCAATGACTTTGTTTAATGACAAATAAACAAGAAATTACAAATCAATTTTGAACATCCAGCTAATATCATACAAAATTGAAATTCTGTTACTAATCAATACTCAGAGCTTAGTTGTTTAGCATTGATAACATTTAAATGCCATTAGGAACAATGGAATTTGGTTGCTGGTGATCAGTGAAAATCCATCACTCTTATAATCACAACTATTCATTAAAAATGCTGTAAGATTGGATGAAAATAAAAATGTTCATTTTATGTTCAAACTTGCAAAAAGAGTACAAACTTCAGATAAATTATCAATTTTCAAATAAGGACTTACAGAAACCACTCTGTGAAATTTAACATTGTCATAATAGCCACGCCTTGACTGAAATACAACATTCAGAAAGGCATATAGAAATCAATCAACTGAGGCATAAATAAAAATGAATGCTAAATAAATATTGTTCAGAACAAATTGCTGAAGGTGCTCGTAATATTCTTTTCGTTGCTTTTATCAAGCATCCAAAGGAGGTTTCTGGTAAAACTGAGAACATTTGCTTTTCATATGCAAATACATATTACAGATTCATCTGGCCTGGATTTTTGGCTTCACCTGACTAGGTTTTAGCATAGTATCTTAAATACTTGGTAAAATGTCTATAAGACCATTTATCATCAACTTAAAGATGAAAGAGAGTTCATAAAAATCTACATATAAATACTAAACAGCTATAGATGCAAATTTATGGTTTATGATTAAGAAAATGAGAAAAGACAAGGATGAAATTTTGATTTACAAGTTCTGCAAAGTTTCGGCATGTTCTTGGGGTGTGATTCCAATACAATTCTAGCTGTATATCTCCCTGTATAAGAAAATCATTACCAAGATTAGTCATCAAAGAAAATCATTAAAAACACTTTGTAAGATTGGATTAAATGCATAAATGTTTTTTGCAAACAACAATCAGTATGATTTGATGGAGCATAACCTAATTATATGATTAGAGGATAAATAATACAATATGGTCACATTTGAAGTTAAAAAAAATAGTTAAAATTATATAATTTTTAGGACAATTTAGCCTGCATGCAGTCTTTTCAAATGGAGGAAAAGGTGAAGTCTGTACAACACAACTTGTATCTTGCATCCTGTACGTCAGCACTTCTTTAGAGAATCATATTCTTTTGAAATCTTTCATCTTTGGCACAATGGCTTTGAATGGAATCTTTTTATTGTTTGTCAGTTATTAGAATAATGGTAACATGTCTCACATGATCAAACTGATTCAATGACTACACTACTACACTACACTACTAAAATATGAGGCTGGATTGTTCTTGATTTGTTCTTAAATTAATAGAGTGTAAGCAGTGCAATTGCTAGCTTTTTTGTTCCAGGGAGATGAACAGGCTTCATTTGTCAACAAAGTGACTGAGACAACCTTCATTTGCCTACAAGTTTCAAAATTCACTGTGAAAAAGCACCTACACATGGCAAAAGATCCTTGTTATTGAGATGAAAAGTTGCTTAAAATTACATTTTACAGTAGCTCAGCCTCAGCTTGTTCTTAATTTGTTCTTAACTTTTGACAAATTTTGAGGCTTGTGGTCTGCCCTGCGGCACAGATTTTACAATTACCTGTATTTTTAAAGTCTGCATGAAGGTTACTGAGACTTGTGAAGACAATGAATTTGTCATTGAACCATTAAAAAGGTAGCGTTGCACACCTAAGAACTCCTAAAACATGTTCAAATCTATATGTTTTCCAGCAGTATATTTAGTAGTATAAAGATTGTGAGCACCTGAAACTGACTTCAAAAGGATGTTTCAGTGGCTACATACCGTTTTCCTCTGAAAAATTTCACTACAGCAACAAATTCCATTGAAATGTAAAGGAAAAGCTTAATTTTGAAAATGGGGAAGTTCACTGCCAGCATAGTCCAGTCAACATGAAATTTTCGGCACAGACTAATTTCAACATGAAGATCCCATTTCTATGATCAATTTTTGACATGAGGATTAAATTTGTTCGGAACAGAGAATTGTTCATTATGCATACCATTGCATGCATAATTCTAAATACAAAAGTCGTAATTTTCCATTTTTACCTTATCAGTCTGCTAATCATTCCCTTATTTTTACACCACTTCCTTTATTTGCATCTTTAGACATTTCTATCTTTATATTAGACATACTTATTGTTCAGTGTTCATGATGTTGTTAATTTTCGAATTCAAATACTGGAATGTGAATCGATGACCATACCGGATAGCTAAGTTAGTAAAAGTCCAAAATTAGACACCGTAAACATACCATTGAAGTTTGCATGTTGACATGACGAGGCCTCCAGTTTTCAGCTGGCATAGTCATTATGGAAAATTTGATAATAAAAAATAATACAAAACCGGCCTAAACAACGTGAGCCATTTCTACTACAAGAAAGCGAGACTGAATGCAAAGCGCCTCCACAGTTAAACAAGCAATCATCCCAAACGAGGCAAATCAACAAGCTTATCGTCACTAGGCAACAATTATCTTGTGGTGGAGATTTTCACAGTGGAAATGACAGTGGTAACAAATTTTATGAACGCTGCTCTTTATCCGTCACTCATATAAAATATTTAAAGGGAAAACGTAGCTAAAGATATTTTCCCAGTTTTAAGAGGATTTCAGACCGCAAACGCTGGAAAAAGACCCAATGAAATGAAACGATTATCGCCAGCTTGATGAGAGACTGGAGAAAGTGTGAACGAAGTTGAGCACAAAGAATAAAAACATAGTTTCTCACCAAGGACGAATTTATAAAATGCCTGTTGCCGAAGATCGCTTAGAACAACTTCAAGTGTTGAAATTGCTGCAAACAGTGCGAAGAGAAGATACGGAACAAATTGAGAAACTTGTACTGAATGGAATTCCCAATCTTGTAAATTTTTCAGGTAGTAGAAGACTTTGTTTCTTTTCAGATACTCCTAATATAAATCAATAATCTGTTATATACGCATATCCACGAATAAGTGGGTTTTATAAAGAGTTGATACCATGTCATCAATTGCTTTACATGAACCATAAGCATAATATATGCAAATATCTGTCAGATGCAAAAAATGAAGCAACACTGAAAGTTGACAGAAATTTATCTTTAATTTCTCTATATTATGCTGGTTTGAAATAGAAAAGTGTCAAATCACAAGCTTCCTTTTTTTCCCTGAAAATGAGCTTCAGTATCACTTCAGGGCTCTAAAAGCTGTAGATGCTGCCCACCTCCAATAATTTATTTAGTATAATGTCTGCTCTCAAAATATTCAGCAAATTTTGTGGAATAATGTTTGAAAACATTGCTCTATTGATGTAGAATATAGCATTTCAAGAGTGGTAAGAGAGGTTGGTCTTCAAAAAGATTTTTTTGAGAATTTGGATTTAATCTATCTGTTTAGCCTGCCCCCCCCCCATAAACATTTACTCTTGCTATAGCTCCTAGTCTAGAAAACTTGCATATGCTTGCAGGGATGCTGGAATTCTTGTGCTCACACCTTTCACCTCTCATCAGGTACCATCTTCTAACAGAACCATGACCCTCCAACTATCCCAAAATCTGAGTTTTGGTTTGTTGTCATGGTCACAGATAAAACTAAGGGATTAATAGTAGAGATGGACCCCCAGAACCATCTTTACAGTGTTTTTAAAGGGAAACCGTCCCTCTTTCCAGGAGTCCTTCCGCCTGAAGCTGTTGACCCCTGGATTTATAGCTCATCCGCCCTTCTTGCCGGTCTCCCGATGAGTTAGCCATTGGCCATCGCTCGAGCCCTGAGCTAGGGAACCCTGCCAGGTGGTACTAGTTGGGTCAGGCTGGACCTGTAAGCTAGTGGAGGGAAGGAACGCTTTAATTCCCCATTCATGTCCTGTCAGAGCATGCCACTGCCTTGTTTCACCTCTAGTGCCCCAAAATATCAAGGAATTCATACAACATACTCTTAAGTAATGTATATATGGGCATCGTTGCTTGCAGCTTGAATGCTTTGCTCACAGGCTGCAGCTGTCAATGTGCCGTTAGTCGAATTGATGCATCCGCAAAATCAGACATGTTTTCCAACCTGGTTTAGCTCTGCAAATCAATGAGCTATACCCAGAAGTCAACATTATAAAAATTTGTATTACAGTATAATCCGGTTATAGCATACTTTAAGGGACTTGCAGTTTAAATCTGTTATATCTGAAGTACATTGTAACCAGGGTAAGTAAAAATTGATTTAAATCAAGTTGTAAACAATTAAGCTTTTTAAAAACCACACTTTCAACTAAATTTTTATAGGCTACATAGTTGAAGAAGTCTGCAAAGCGTTTGTGAATATCGTTTTTCATTCAAATGTTCTTCACTGCTGCATCAACTTTGCTCAACTTCTTCAATGTTTCGTTGGCATTGAACAAATCTGAAAACTTAAAAACCTTTGTGGAACTTTGCCAGGACCCATTACTCTAGTATGTTATATCCGAAAGTACATTATAACGATATATACATTTCAATGAGATTGTAATGTATATAAATGTTTATTTATGCAAATTTGCCAAAATTCTGGCTGTTATAAACTTCAATTGAATAACCTTAAGATAAAAGCAATTTAATTCTAGGTTTTTGTCAGTTCATCCTACAATTTTGGCTTAATAACTTATTGTTTTTCTTAATTCCAATCCACTGGAATTTGCATTCTCCCATGTCAACGTTTTAAAAAGTAAACAATTTTTTTACATCAGAGCCTGAGAATGGGGAAACAGCACTTCATTTAGCTGCATGTGCCAACAATGAGAAGATCATTTCCCATTTGTTGGGCTTAGGAGCCAGTGCAAATGTAGCGGATGATCTTGGTCGAACCCCTGCAATGAGGGCTGCAGATTATGGTCATATCCAGGCATTAAAACTTCTTGCTGAATCACATGCTGATTTAACAGGTAGAGTTGATATTCCCATGATGCTATAATGCTAATATAAAATTTTTTGTTTTTTTCTCATCAGCAGTGCAATGAGATACTGCAAATGTAGAAAACAAAATGTTAGTGCCTTCTTGACATTAAAATTTGGTGCAGATAACTGCTTTTTTCACCTCCACTGGGTACTGGTTGTAGCAGTACAACAGATGTGACAATTTCCATGAGTACCAGAGTACCTGAGCAACAATCTCAATATGTGAATCAGCCAGCTGGTAGCTGCAGGGGGCAGGGGGCTGTGCCCCCTAAATGAAAATTTTGACAACAACTTGCCCCCTCTGGCAGCAGTTTTTCCAAACGTTATTTTGAAAAGTTGGCATAATTATAATTCTGTGAGCTTGATTTAGTCTAACTATATCTGTTTGTTATATATCTGTTTACTTGTTTTAAAGCATGCCCCCTTTGGTATGGTTCTTCCTTGAGTTTGCCCACACTAGCAGACATCGACAGCTGCGACTAGCAGACATCGACGTGCAATTCATATAAAATTTACAAAAATAATATTGAAATGGGGCAGTGACATTAATTGCTATCATATATGATACTGTCTGTTATAGAGCTTTGACAGTGGGAGATTCAGTGGTAGCCATAATTTGCAATTTGAAAAGGTAAAGGAATGAAATATCCCTGCAGAAAGAGTAACTGACTATAATTTTAAATGCAAAATGTTTTATGTTTAACTAATAAATAACTGATAATTATTCTTCATTTACAGCAAGAGACAGGGAAGGAAGGAATATATTATTTTATTGTCTTCATTCAACGAAACGACATAAAGAGTGTTTGGAATTGTCTCTCAAATATGGTGCATATCAGCATAATGTTGTAAGTGACTTCTTTTAAGCTTGTGGGTCTGAAATTTGTCAGGTTCGTCAAATTTTTTGGCAAAACATGGCAAAAACAATACATCAACACACAAAATTTGCTGTCTCTTGAATTATAAATGCTTCTACAACTATTAAAATAATAGAGTGACAATTTTTCTTTGACAAATTTGCTCTTTACTCCCCTTATGCCCCCTTGAATTGATTTGTCATAACAACTTTGCTATGCCCAGCATATTTACAATGTGTAAGGAGCATCTGCTTCTGCTTCTCATTAGTACTCACAGTTCGTTTGTCGAGTGACCTTAGCGAGACCTTGGCAAACATCTACTTCCCTATATGTATCCAGCAACCTCATTCTGCCGTATCCAACATGATTATGCTCCTATGTGGATCCCTTTCCTCTGCCTGAATTGAAGTCGTGATAGAAAATATTATTGACGCTTGGATGTGATTCTTATTATAGGGTACAGATGGTCAGCCGCTTGTAATTGTTGCTGCAAAAGAAAAATTATCAGAGCACATGCAGATCCTTTTAGCATCCGGTGTTGATCCAGACAATCGATTTGAGGTACAGTACACTAAAATGTTTGCTTTCGTTTCTTCTACATATGCTAATTTTATTGAATGTCTTGTAAAAAAGCTTTTTCGTCTTGAATCCTCTTACTCTTAGATTCAAATCTGCTTTGGTTCTTCAAGCTTAAATATGTTGTATGTTTTTCAGCAAACTGGAGAAACTGCCCTTCACTTGGCTTGTGGAAATGGCTCAATTGAATGTGTACGAGCGTTACTGGAGTTTAATGCTGACGTTAACCTTCTTGATAATGAAGGACGCCATTGCGCTCACGCGTAAGTTCAAACAATCTCTTTGGTCCTTTAGGGTTCTCCCATTCACCAGAGAAAAGTTGTGGGGAGATGAACAAGCAAAAGTGCTCTTTGAGTGAGCCATCACCCCTTTTCTTGGGTTTGAAAGCATTTCTTTGACTTCTAGAAAGAAGGCTGTCTCTCTATCATCCTCACTCATTCTCTTGTTCGTTTCCCCAGCAAGAGAGCCTTTGCTTAACTTTCCAATTTGCTAAGGTAGCTATAAGTTTAACCTGGTTACAGAAAATGTTTATCACATTGAATCAGTACTGCGGAAATTTGATGCCTGCTTACTTACTTTACTTTATGCCTGATTACTTTACGAACAAATGATCGATAAACAGCAACCAGAGCTAATTTTATCATAATTCAATTTTTCGTGATTTTGTAATATCAACCATCTTTTCTCGTTTTCTGAAAAGAACTTGGCTTGCTTTTCAGAATTTTATTTTTTCTAGCGTTATCGAGTAGCAGTGCAGGATACGTTGTATGTGCTGATCTTTTTAAATGCATTTAATCAGAAAAGATGTGTTTGCCATCTAGTAGTAGTTATGCATCTAATTATTGAAGCCTCGATGTTGGCTCAAAACTCACTCTATCGTCTGATAGCATTCGTGAGTTATGCACCTTATGTTCCTTTCTGTGACGGTCGATATATACTGATCTCCATCTAGAGCTGCTGTGAATGGCCATTTGCCGATCCTTAGAGTACTATCAGCTTATGGAGGAGAGATGGGCACAGTAGCTAACGATGGAGACACTCCAATACATTTGGCTGCAACACAAGGATATGGGCCAATATGCAAGTTTCTGGCTCAGAGAGGTACAAATTTCCAAATTTTATTTGAAATAATTATTTTTTCATTTTCCAAATTTGTTGAACGATGGCGTACCGTAATTAAGAAAAAGTTGGCTGTATGATTTCATGTAATCAGGTTGAGTTTGAAGAAATTTGTAGACTAAAATCTCAGGCATGTTTCGTCATCATGCAATAGTTTCAGTTTTTTACTTTTGCAAGTTGTGTAAATATATGTTGATTTTGTGGCTAGATGGGCGTAAATTATGGCAATAATTAATTCTTAAATGCATAATTTTGCGACACATTTCTAAAAATTCTAAATGCTGGCATCGTCCTTGTAGTGTCGTTAAGTATTTTGAAGGTAGTGTAACTAGTAAATTTGTTTTGTAAATTTTTATTGGAATGTAAAAAAAGAAAAATGCTAAATATCTACGCGAATTTTCGAAAAATCTTTGAAATAATTAATTAAGTTTTATTTTTGTAAATACAGGATGTCCTGCTGGATTGAAAAACAAGGAGGGTAGAACCCCACGATTACTGGCTAAGGACAACGAACATAAAGATGCAATGAAAGAGTGCCGTAAAGCTGAAAAGTTGAAAGCCGGGAAGCCTGGAACCGACAAATGGGCTGTTAGAGTACGTAAGCTTTGGGAATTTTAGAAATCATTCTATTAGTTGAAATTTCCTCTTGTTAAAGATATGCATTTTATCAGAAGGTCAAAAATAACCTTTTTTGTTTCTTTCCTTCATAATGTGTGTACGATCAGTTCTCCCTTTGTACATACATTTCTTACCTGCTGTTTTTGTGTGTTTGTAAGAGGTCAACGAATTTGTCAATTTACTGATTTAATTGAATTTGACAGTTTTGAGGTATAATTTGCTTTCTGTAACACCACTTCATTAATATTTGGCTGTAGTTTTCGCAGAATTAAATTACAAAGGTCAGAATTCGCCTAACCTGAAGTAGTATGATTTTATGTTATTCAGTTCATATGAATTGGTAATACGCCGATGAACGTATTAAAAACCAATGCATAGTTAAGTAATCACTCTTCTCCATCAAGCTGAAAAATTTTTATTCCCAACATTGAGTATCTTTCTGAAAATTTGTCAAAGTAATTATGAGAATATTTGTGACTTCTCTCAAGCTTTTTACTTCGTTATAAAAGCTTGTTGCCTCGAGGTTAGATTATTGTACACAATTACTAAGACATTCCAATCTTCTTGTGCATTCCGTCTTCAGTCTTCTTGTGTTTTCATTCATTCGTAATGGGTAATTATGCCCTCCAGCTGTATGACTGGATGATCGAAAAAACGAAATCCTTGACTGAGCATTTTTGGAAATACGATCCTGAAGTTGATGGTGCCAGGAAAGGCAAGATAGGTTTACAGGAATTCAGTTCTGTGCTGCAGTCAGAAGGTATGCTTCTTTCTATGGTTCTGCTTATCATGATTTACTCTGCTGCTACCAAGTGTCATTTTTTGTGATCTGTAAGATGCGACGTAGAAATTGCTTGCTATCTTTATGTATAAAGGCAGCAGCTTATGAAAGTCTTAACTTATTAGCAGAGGGAGGGCAAATATGTTCTTGCTGACTCGCTTGCTCTGTTTTCTATCTAATGAATTACCCTGAGGAAGTTAGTTAAATTTCAATTATGTGAAATAGACAATGGTTTCTTGTACTAACTAGCTCTCCAAGGTATCTGGTTACTAGCTAGCTTCCTAAGATAGTTTTAATGGCATTGAGAAGCAGTGTCTACTTTGCAGTGTCCTAATCTTTCCTATCGATGTGACCATATCTCGTGATTCCTACGCCTGAAATTACAGAGAGCTGGCGACTAGAGTATAAATTTTTTGGGCTCTGGAGCATAAGGTTTAGTGTATACACTATAGTATACAATTTTTAGCTTCATTTGCACTTTTTCAGATATATTTTATTTGGATATGGTAGCAATTATGTTGAAAAAAGATCAGATCGCATTTTATAAAAATTAAATTGATTTGAATCTATCTAATAAGCAAAAATGAAATTTCATCAACCTTTCGATTGCAAAAAAACTGTAGCACATCAAACTTACCTACTGTTACTCTCGGTTGAAGTATCATATATCATATTTCATGAGCGTATTCCACCTTCCACCGCTGTCAATGGAGGCAGCATCGCAACATTAAGATGTTCATTATTTACATTGAATTGGTGACCATCAAATACACGTGAATAAATCAGAGACAGTCCTGAACCCCAATCCTCTCACCTGTTTTCGAAATGGGAGTAATATGTCTGTAAGCGAGGATGGCTCAGTTGTTAGAGGCGCTGATCCCAGGCCCAAGGGTCTGTGGTTCGAGTCCCTGGCATGACCAAACTTCTACCCAGAGTGAGGAGAGTCGCCAGCTCTCTGTAATTCCAGGCGTAGGAATCACGAGGTGTGATCACATCGAGAGGAAGGACCAGGATACTGCTTGATTAGCATAAGCTTCTCAGTGTCCTAAAAACTACCTTCGGATGCTAGGTAGAAACAAATACAAATGTCAATAACTTTTTGAATCAGTAGTCAGGAAGTGTTAAAATCATACTCAATTTATGGACGTTATTTGTCTCAAGATTAAGATAACCCGTTTGCTGTGGCTGAAATTACTTTTCGAAACAAAACTAGCTTTTAACTGTCATTGATGAACTTCGTCATTGAAGTTAATACAAACTTTTGTTTCTAGTCAGTTTTTGCTTTGATAGTATCTTTCTCATCCTCTATATAATTTTCTCATATTTGTTGTCAAAACCATGTAACATTAATCAATGGTTCTATCCCATTCCAGATGCACCACTTACCGAGGACAAGTTAAAGCACATTTGCAATGTGCATGACACTCTCAAGTCAGAGATCATCGATTACAACCTATTTCTGACAGGAAAGAAGTTTATAAACAAGGTACAAATCCTTCATTAAATACTGCAAAATTTCTTATCAATGTAATCTTTAATTGCATTTTTCACTGTCGTTGATGACTAAACAGTAACCACAGTACAGCCCACTACAATCTTGTTAATGCAAGGGATTAGACTTTGATGGCTTTATGTAATCCAATTCAATGTTATTGGTGCCTCAAATCAGGAGTACCATCATAACGAAAAATCGATCGCAGTTGTTAGTTGTTAGTAGACAGTCGACAGTCAGAGTCTGGAAAACATTATGGTCGCACGGCCACTGACCGGAGGAAGGTCCACGAAAAGCAATAGAAGCTCCTATGACACACCCAAGCCACGCCCACCGTCTATTCTTTTGTGAGGAAGGTTTGCCTTCTGGGATGTTTCTGTCTGGAGGAAGGTTAACAACTTTTTTGGACTCTGTCGACAGTTTCACCCTGGCCTCTGCCTAAATAAAGAAATGCTACGGAGACCTTAACAGATATCTCATCTCGACATAACCATTGAGAATCTGTTGGGAAAATCGGAAATATTTCTGTTTGTTAATAGCAGTGCTATCAAATAATTAAATATAAAACATAGGAAAGAAGATTTTAGCTTGTCGATTCGTCTGCAACAGTTACTAATCGATCTGAAGCAATCGAATATCATTTTGCATCGGTTTAGTTCAAAGGCACCAAAGCTTTCAAAACTAAGACGAAAAAAGTAACAATTGTAAACCCACACCTCTTTCCTTTATGCTGGTTTATGGTTTTATTAAACCCCTTCCAAGTTCTTCTAGATTGAGGACGAATATGAAGATCTAAATAAATAATCAGGAAGAAAGCAAATGACCCCTTTGATTGAATTAGTTTTTATCAAGATTGCCACGTCTTTCTTGTAAAGAGCTTTGAACACTTTCAGATAGGCTTTCGAAAGTTTCATTCTAGTGAATGTGGAAAAATTGAATATCTATCCAAATTCATACCATTTATGGTATTTTACTAAAGTTTCGCTACCAATGCAATTCTAGTTTCTTGATGTTTGTTTTTCAGTATAACAAATATATACGTCATCAAAATAGACTTATTTATACTGAAACTGCTTAGATATATATGCATCCGTTTGAGAGAAACCAATTACTTTGCCCCCACAAGGTAGTACCTGTCCGTAAAAATAGAATCCATCCTAATGTATTTGTAATAAAATTTCGCTTTGATGTATAAAACAACACTGTTCTTTATTTCAACTCCACGTTCCAGGCTTTATTCAGCTTAGTTCAGTTCATATAATCGCTTCATACCATTCCATTTTTTTAAACTTAAAGATAGGAAATTATATCATCAGCCATCAAGGAATCGAACAATAATGGATTTTGTTGGGAACCAAATTCACGACACCAAAGCTTTGTCTTAGAGATCTGTCTTGAATCATTATGTACAGTTTATCATCGTTCGATATTTTTCAAAGCAATTGTGTTATGATATCTTCTTCATCAAGGGTTGATAGCTGATATCAAGTAGGTTGTTATCATTTCTTTTCACTTAGCAATCATCCTCCAACCCCCATATATTTATTTCTGGTGATATCTTTAAATTTATATAGTCAAGTCATTGGGAACGGTTGAAAGGGGTGTAGAATTTTGAGATTACAAATGGTGTTAGGGTCTGCGTAAATTTATTTACGGCATACCTATACGCCACAATACTGGCTGCGAAAACGATTCAATCTTTTTGATTAAGTTCCTTCTGTGGCACAGTAGCATTATTGTGTTTTATTAACTGATATATCTTATAGCGCACCTTTCAATTCAGTATTATCTACCACAAATGAAATGTTTTAATTCTATGAAACCGAGAACAAAGTCTTTTGTAAGTGAACGAAATTTGGTTTTTCTTTCAGCTCTATTCAATAGACGGAGGCAAGGTAATCTTTTCACCCTTTCACAATCCATAACTTTCAGTTTTAAACCGATTTAAACAGCTCAACATTTCTCGTACATAATTCTCTTACTTAAACAGTAAGCCTGTCTAGCATTATCTATCAAAAATGTTGCTTAGATAATGGATTGCAGTCATGTTTAAAAGAATTTATGTCTTTGTTTTCATTTTATGTGTAGCGTTTTTAGTTGAAAAGATTTGGTGTAAATGCAACAAACATAATTTTTCGAACTGTAGTCAAATTACTATTGCTAGAAAACCTTAATTGTAAAAGATTTCGAATATATTTGCCCTCCTGACAACTACTGAAAGCAGTTCACCATGAGAATCCCCTTTAGAAATAAAATGCATAAATTGTTGCGGTTAATGAGCAACTTTTAACGACCCCTTAGCAAAAACAGCTTTGTCAGAAGGACAAGCAAGCCAAAACCGTGTTAAAAGTGTATCATACTCGTAAGCCCCCGTATTGGCGTCAAAGATCATACGTAATCATGATAAAGTTCAATCCGCAAGAAAGGGGGTTGCTTCCAGGCAGAAATTCAACGTGCAGTGATGACCATGAAAGTCAGATTTGTGCAATGATGAAATATTTAATTTCCCTTTCTACACAGCAAGTTATTTGAAATAATCGGAATAACAAGACCCTTTATCTCTATGTCGCTGCCTATCCCACCAAAAATAGAAACTGGCAGAATTGACCATAAACCCGAATTCATGTTTTTTATTTTCTATCGTGAATGGGCGTAACATACCAAGGAACCTAAATAAATAAGTTTGTCAAAAATTTCGATCATTTTTTATACTTTTGCCAATTTTGAGATGTTTGAAATCAATTTACGTGTAGACGACTTACTATTTTTGCGAGTAGGGGAGTTCTTCTAACATAAATGAAATGACCTTAAAGTAGATAGAAGATGATTTATTCATCAAAACAAAATTCATTTTAGAAAAAGAAGAAAGGAGGAGGTGGTAAAGGAGGAAAAAGGAAAAAGGTCTTTATAAACTTTTTATACTTTGTAGCTTTGAATTTCTTTCAAGTTTTTTACTCTTTGTTTAATGAAAGTAGTTGAAGCCTCGAAGTTGTTAACAAAGCGCCTCATGTAAGTTAAAGATCTTTATCATTTCCCTGAAAATCCGCCAAATTATATATCTTTAATGTAACTGTTTTGCAAGATCATACTCACTGTGTTGAAATGACAGGCAGTTGCTATGTTCAAACATTTCGAGGTGGCTAGAAAATTTGAGATACTGAAGATTTTTGTGCGTCCTAGACATGGTTTTGCTGTTATCTTATTGAACCAGTCTATTCTTTTTGCTTCAAACGATGATTGTTAACCTTTTACTAGTTAGCGGCATATCATGATTTTCAATCGCCTTGAATTATCTTTTCTTGCTGCTTTTGGTTTACATCAGCTCAATGTTATGTGTTGCTCTAAAACATATAAACTGGCATTCCCGCGCCTTTTTTTCTTAACATAAAAATTACCTGTTTTCTTAAACAATTTTTTAACAGATATATAACTTTTTCTATAGGGAAAAACGAAAATTCTAATGCCCATCTGCACTACACCTGATGGACCGAGAACCAAAAAAGGAGGACCACCAGCCTGCTACCTAGAAAAGTATATTGTACGTAGATATTAACTTTTTGATCTGAGAATCAAGTTGATTTTCATTCTCAGTAAGGCTAAAACTACCATTAACCGGCTTGTAAGGGGTTTAAAGGGGGTTTAAAGGGGGTTTAAAAGAATTCAGCTTCAGGTAAGGTATCATAACTTGAAATAAAGTCTTTAAAGTATTTCACTTTTTCATAGGGATTTTTAACTCCTTATCAGGTTTATGTCTGCCTCTTTAAAGGCCTGCAAATACAATTCTCACTGAAAGAAATAATTTACTAGCTGGAAGCGTTCGCATTATAAATGAACGGCAAAAGAATTTGAAGTATATTGTTATATATTGTAATAAAAGAACACTGATAGTTTTCGTAGCTTTCATTGGTTAACCTCGTTTTTTAGCATTTCACTGACAATACGAGGTTTGATCGTGACAACCCACCGGAGCATCCCATTCACGATGACTCAGCTTGGTACCTTACATATCCAGGTAAATTTATTTCCATGATTGATTTCCATCCCTTCATTCGAGTCCAAAAAAGCTGACACTCTCTCTTGATTTCTCTTTTTATCGGTACTTTGCAAACCTCCCATGTCTGAATTTCAAGTAGGTCTTTGAAGATTGTTATTTCTTTTAGGCAACCCATCATGCTTTGTCAAGGGTGATAAAAATTCTCAGTAGACATATATTTCTTTTGTTTCAGAAACTGAAAATTTATACAATAACTGGCTTTTGCTCATGATGCTCCTCTCGAACGGGACCCTTGTATTGGCAGATCTATTAGCAACAATCAATGTATAAAGTTTGGAATTCATATTGCTAAAAACATGATAAATTTAATGGACGATTAAAGACCAGGTCTTTAGTGAATGCGATATTTAAACATGCGAGCTTATGTGGTATTGCCAAAGTGACAAGTAACATGGTCTTTGCGTTTGGAACTAGCATTCTTATTTTATCAGGTCTGTTTATTTGAAAGATTATCATAACTAGAGCAGTTTTATGTAAACCATCTCCTGATTCACAGATAAGACTTACATGAGTGTAACTGGTGCTGCCAAAATAAGCGATTTGGAAACGTTGAAAAATGCCTTTCTACGAGGCACTCCCGTTGATCAGAGGGACAAATACTACAAGACGCCTCTCATGGTAGCATGTCTTGAGGGTCATATTGAAATGGTGAAGTTTCTCATAGAACAAAAGTAAGTGGATGTCTTTACAAGCCTGCCTGATGCTGGTTTTTTACTGTTGGTGAAAAATACTGAATCACAACATATCTTTTCTTTCTTGTTTGTTTTTAGGGCTTTCCTTTAATTCGTCTATTTTAAATGAATAAATAATATTGATAAGTGAACAGGATTTTGTAATTTCCAACGTAACTGGTATTAGTATAAGTTTCGTGGGAAACCTTTTATGAAGGCACCAATTTGGTATAGAAATTTCGTTATGTTTACACTTGGCTATTACGCTACCCTCCATCGTGAATCTAAACGTGAATCATGTCTGTAATTCGCGACTAATTGAAATTTAGAGATTATGTCATTCATGAATTTATTTTCATTAACCATTAGTGCTGATGTGAATGGGAAAGACCAGTTCAAATGGACACCTTTACATTTCGCCTGTCACACAGGGCAGCTAGATGTGGCTCAGTATCTTTTGGACCATGGCGCTGAATTGGATGCCCAAGCAGCAAATGGTGGCACACCGATCATGAGGGCAATTGAAAGCTCCAGAGAAAATGTTGTCTCATTTCTTATAGAAAAGGGGTAGGTGACTGGATTTTCAAACTATGCTGTTTTAGGACGGACTTAGCAGCCAAGGACAACTTTTTGTCACTGGCCTTTTTTGATCCATAACTGGATATATATGCTTCTTAGTTTGGAGTTTTCGACCAATCTTATGACGTTTTACACTCTGAATAGTGTCAGATGAAAGGTTTTAGATTGACATAAAAATTGTTTGAAATTTTTCAAGATAAGCCATGAACATAAATCATGCTTTCTGAAAACTTTCATGGCTAAAAGCTGCGTTAAATTACTATTTTGATTACTAAAAGAATCATCTGATTATACGTTGCCTTCGCCGGAGTCTTTTTCGATATTCGCCTTTCCTTTTTTGCCATTCTTTGCAAATTCCTCATAAAAATTTTAACCCTTGCAGTGCAAAGATACAAGTTGAGAATAAAAAGGGTCAGACAAGTCTAGATATCGCAAAGGCATACGCGGATCCGAGAATCGTTGCAATCGTGCAAAAGAGATGGGATGAAATACCTCCACCAGTGGATAAAAAAAGTATGCTTAGTGTTGCGTTGTATGCGTTGATTTAAGATTATTTCGTTGTGTTATTCTCTACAAAAATTACAATAGAAGCATAATTTTGAGGACAATAGCCATAACAGATTTTAGGGAAAATTCCTGGCCTAATTTTGGAGGATTTAGGGACGATTTAAGGGCAATTTGTGGACAAACGGTTTTTATGATATTCCGGGACAATTTGTTTGGATGTGTCGGAGAAGGTCATTTGAGTGAGACCAGGTATATTGCATAAGATTATCTCGTTATAGAGTTTGTAACAAAATAACAATTTTAGTATAAAAGATAGGTTTGTCGTATTTGTTATCTTTTTGGTAAAGGATTATCGAATTGTTATTGCGCTTTGTTACACTCATTAGGCTGGATAAATTAGTTTTAATCTTCCAGTATGCTTAAGAGGTCATTTTGATAAGCAGGTACCCTTGTAAATCTTTTCATTAAAATACTTCGTTCGCACAACTTGCTTTCATTCAACAAACACAACAAAGTCATCACATCAGTTCACTTGATAAAACTTGAGATAGAAGTTGTAGGACGTTTTAAAATAGGCTAAGAATGACGTCACATTTGGCTGTTATTTTGTGCTGTATGGTTTTGGGTATGAGGTCTTTACAGCAGCATGTCTTTACAGAGAAAATAAACGCAAATATTGCAAACAGCTTTAGTCGTTTGCTTTAATCGGTTGATAATTGAAACTATAAAGGAAAAGTGAAATTTGTCATTGGAAATAGGTTGACTTACATCGTGATGGTCATAAAAAGAATGCTTCGAATTAACTGGGATTCAAACTTTCGGATTTTGACGTTTTTAACAGTAATAATGTTTCAGCATGTTCGTCATAATGTAATAATCGGCTGCTATTGTGTAAACACCAGTATCTCTTCACTATGGACCAATTTAAAAGTTTTGAGTGAAACAGGGCGTATATTCCATTCATCGTGCGATTTTTAGGGAGTTTGTCAATTGGGCGTCTAGCACTACACAGAGTTTCATATTTTATGTGTTTGTATCTTTGCAGGAGGAAGAAGCAAAAGTCCACGTAAAAAACCTCCAAAATCTGCTTCAGTTGAGAAGAAACCAAGTGCAGCGGCCAATTCAGGCGACCAGGGTGACCAGGTATTAATGGTTGTCATTTTGTATTGTTTTACTGCAGAGCTGAAGTTGAGCAATAAGCCCATTGTGGGGATGCTACACAAATACGTATAGCGTTTAATTAGGCGGTTAAACTTGAAGTTCATGAAGCTACACGCAAAAACTGCATTATGAATTGGTATATATTTTGAGAAATACTTTCTTTAGCCAGGGACGCCGTAATGACCAAGGAGAAAGGGCACTACAGTCAGGATTTCATACGAACATGCATTAAAATTACAAAAGGCCGATATCATGGGCGTTTCTATGAAAAGGGTATTTTTGCCCCATTTGTCCCTCCTATCAAATGGCAAGGGAGGATTAATTTTCAAAAAGACATCGAGTCTTTTTCTGGTTTGGAAATACATCTTATTACCCAATTAGATCAAAGTTCCTTGGTGTACCCACAGACCAGCATTATTCCAATTTCTAATGCTCAAGGAGCCCCTGCAAGAATTACAACTATTGATAATTGACATCTTTCTTCCATTTGACTACATCTGTATTGTTGATCAGCTTCAAATATTTTAAACGTAGACTCTATAGAATTTTTCTCTTACGACTATTGGAAAATATTTTGACGCTTTACTTTGGTTTTATCTGTGGTTCGACAATCCTAGGATTTAACTACCTCTCCAAAATCCCTCTCTTTCTCCTGTCTAATGTTGGTTGCTTTACGAAAGATGTTTATGCATCAAATTCCAGCCAAATTCTCACCAACAACCCACCAATATTTAACCATGTTTGATGTTTGCTTGGTAAATCTTTGAGGATTTTTTTTCATTAAGGTATTCACAAATTAAAAATAACTTTTGAACGGATCGCGTTTTTGCTACACAAATTTAGCTACGTTTTGGTATTAACAATGCAAATTTCAAAAGCCATAAAGGAGTTTCTGGTACTTATTAACTTCAAAACGCGTATCGGATGAAAAAACCGAAAATTAACGCACATTCTCCTTAGACCAGAAATTAACGTAGAATACCTTAGACCAGTTAAGAATCCTAGCTACTAATTTCCCCAGCAATCCGCCAGCAACCATCGAATATTGCTAAATGTCAATGTTATAAGGAAGATGAGAAAAAATGTGTGAATCTGCAAAATATTTTGTTCAGGGACTACAACAGTTCTGGCAAGGAAATTAATTTGAAATATAATTGCCCAATTTTTATTATATTTGAACTTAGTATGTCAAAGCCATATTCAATTCAAGTACAAAGATTTTAAAAATTTGAAGTATGACACGACATTGTCTTACTTACGTGTCATAATTAACACAAGCAAACCGATGTTAATGACAGCGATCTAAATGTATGCCCTGAATAGGACTTTGTGGGCAATGTGCAATAAGATTTTACGCCAAAACCATGACCCCATAGCCGTTTGTGCGTTGTGGCTTTCATCCATGTTCTTTACTGCTTCTTTTTTAAGAATATCTTACATCTCTTATTGGAATATCCAATTCTGTGACAGGGGGCTTATCATATTTTCTAATGCGAATTAAACCATGGTAAATTTTTAATCTATAGTAAAAAAACCACATTAGTAACAATCTAATTGAAAATTCTTGACCAGTCATAGTCAAATTGATATGCTAGTCAATTCATTTACTTCTCTTACGAGGATTTAACATTTAAAAAACTTTCAAGAGCTTTTTACAAAGCTTTTCTATAAAAAACCATCGGTTGAGCCGATGTATTTAAACATGTTCTGATATAAGCATTATCAATCTCTGTTTGCATCACACACCTTACTCACAGCGTCAGCAAATCCTCATCAAAGCCACGGGTTATTGATAACACCAGATAAGCCACAATTTAATGAAAATACAATTTTCTCTACAATGCCCACTTTTATTGACTTTTTTCTCTCTCTGGTGTTATGCCTTCTGACACTAATCCAACTACCAATGAAACACCACCAGCATCGCCATAAACCTCGTGTATCTGGAGCCTTTTCTTGATTTAGGCTGTGGTGAAATTTTTGTCCATGTCAATTTGTTTTTACAGGTCCCTCCTATTTCTGACGACCTGATCAAAAGGAAGAATTCAGTCCTAAGAGCTGCATCGGTGATTGGGATGGCTCACGAGCAGGAGGAATCAATCACTTTTGTTCCCAGACGTGTTTGGGTGCCACAAAAAACAACGGTTAGTGCCATCATCAGCCGTTTGAAAGCAAGGATGTAGTCCATATGAGTGGTTTAGGGGGTTAGGGACTCCTTTTTACGGTTAGGCTTACTGAGGGATTCAAAACATTTCATTTATAACGATCAATGTCTTTATCTTGGCCCTAAGGCATTGCATGTTAGAATGTAGCAAAGAAGCTCTACGTTTACCTTATATAACATACCATATTGTCTATTGAATGAAATATGTAAAACTGTAAATGTTTTTCAAGATCTTGCCATTTTGGTATTTTGATTATATTTTCCGATTAAGAATGCCATCAAAGCATTCTTATGCAGTGGTGTAGTGTTATCAAAATAATAAGGGGGACTCTTGCATAAAATGTTGCGAAAAACAATAGCAAAAGTAGAAATTTGCAAATTTTTGGCATTAACAAGGGGGCTTAGCCCCCCAGAGCCCCCTAGCGCTACACCCCTGTTCTTATGATACATCTGATCCCTGCATTTTTTTACACAAATTCATCGTCCTAGCAGATTTTTGCTAACTGTACTTTCCAGTAACCGTTAGTAAAACGCAAACTCTTGTAGAAATTTTCCCATTGACATTTCTTGCCGCGTAATTGCACACATGATTCACATGAGATATTCATTTCAGAAATAAATGTCTTATCAAATTTTGGTCTAGGTCAAATTTAAAGTATTCGTTGACAGCTCTGTTTTGCTAATGTACTCCTCGTTACAGTGATCGTAATGTCTGTGGCCTAACTAGAAACCTTTTAATGTGCTACCTAGCCTATCTAGCCAGCTGTAGGTCCATTTTTGACATGCAAAATAGAAGTGAGATTTTTTAAAACAAATGAAGTTAGACCACAGATTACAACAAGTAAATAGTTTGCCATAGGTAAACTTTTCGTAGCACAAACATTAATCTTATCGTGCTCTATTGGTAAGAAGTAGTGACAGAATTTCTTCATTCGGAAAACTGAATTCTTTGCTAAGCTCTATATTGCAATATTCTAATGTTTATATTCGCTCATTATAGACGGACCTACTCATCGCGAAAGAAATTCGAAGACAGAGATATGGGTATGAAATTGACTTTCCATCTTTTAAGCCTCCTTTTCAAAAGTACATCGACGAGCGAGCGACTGAAATAGAGGCAGCAGATGATGCCCTGTGAGTGTCAAATTCCTTGCACAAGCTGTACAAGGTTCTGCAGCTCCAGATAGCGGACATGCAAAGTGGTGTTCCGGTCGCATTATTAACAAAGATGAAGCTCTAAACAGTAGTGAATTCATGCTAACGTTTCATATGAAAGGTAATGTGCACAAATATTTTGGATGTGGAGTTGCGTTTAAAACTACAAGACAAGATTGCCCAAATGCACAGAATATAAAAGGATGTTCATTGATTGGTCATAGATTTTCATAGAAAACCGACATGACAAAGAAGAATTCAGTAGTAAGATTGACATGCTTTGATTGACATGTTTCTTTGTAATTTTGAATAATAGTTCTAATTTTGAAGCATACGCCGGGCCTAGGCCAATCAGATTTATTGTTAAGAGCCGTTGAAGTTGTAAAGTTCAACTGAAGGTCATGCTGTAATTATATAAAATATTTTTTAACAAAAGCATGTCTTTTCAGGTAATGTTCATTTTTTCTTAGTTTTTGTTACATTTTTCAAGGCAAGGGTTGAAGTTTTGGAGCCTGAAGGTTGAACTGCCTCTTTTTCAAGAGCTCCTTTGGGTTTTTATTGCATGGCTCAGCTTTGCGCATCCGACTTAACAAAACAAAGGTTCATTTATCTTTAAATCACTGGAGAATGATTTATTTGAAAGCAAATTATGCAAATGCAACTAAGATGCAATCACAAAAACAGCAACAAAATACCAAGGTTGGTCTAATTGTATTCGCCTGTAAGACCTTGGAGCAGCTATAAAACTAGCTAGACAACTTGAAGTGACGTCACTATCTGAGCTCATTGGCAGCACCGGACCATTTACAAGAGGCTTTCACAATGTTTATTTGGTGCAAAATACTGAATATAGAATTTGCAATATACTTACGCAAAGATCCATTGTATTGTACACTGTCGCTTTGTAGAAGATGCCATGCAATGAGTTTACTTCTCTATAGCCTTGTCCATACTCATAGCTTACCCCGGTTAAACCCAGCAGTGTTTACATTGCACTGTAAACGAAAGACTCTGCCGAGCCTACTTTGCTTTGGTTTAACTGGGTTCAGCACATGTCGGGAGGGGAAGTATCGTAGCCCGGGTTCAACCCAGGCAGGTTCCTTGTGCTCTACAAACAATTTGCCTGGATTCGCTCATCATCGTTCAACCCGGGCTAGCTATCTTACTTATTATCTTTTTAACAGTGCTTAAAAATGTGAGTCTAATCAAATTCGGCAAAAAGATTACGCTATCATTTTTCTGAACATAAAATTAAGAATTATCGTCCATTTCCGTCCTTATACTTTACATTTAGCATCTCAGCCTTTTTTCTGCTGACAATGGATGTTCTGAATCTCAACATAAGCAAATATTTGCTTTGCCTATTCTTTAAAACAGTGATGATGCAGTATTTCAAGAATAAAATGGAAGGGCAATTTTATTTGCGATAAACTTGTAATATTCCACGATTTTATCCATTGAAATGGTCGTTGATTGCTATTTTTGATCAGCTACTGTGTAATAATTATGACGGCGATCGATACCCCTTTTTAGAAGCCAACATCATTTCTCACAGACAGTTGCACTGACTTTTATATCACTTTTCATAGGTTTTCATAGCGTTTGAGATTATACCAAGGCTTAGATAGATCCCCGACTACTATTTCCTGGCCTCAAAGCATTCCTTTAAAGGCATTTTCTTGGTAAGTTTCTCGTGGCATCCACGCTGTTCCAAAGTCTAGAGTACATGAGATCAACGAAACTATATTTATTCTCTCTGAACACCCCTATACATGTTTAATGCGGGCTGTGTTAGAGGAAACAAACATACTATGGAATAAACAAAACAATCACATTTAGGATTGTGAAACTGTTTTAACCTCTGTTGCAATAACATCTTCGCTTTATAATCAAGTGAGTAAAGAAAATCCTGTAAGAATATTTCTCAATAGGAATGTTTAGAAGTTTCATATTTGCAGCCCCAGACCAATTAATTTCCGGCTTCTCTGCCCAGTCATGTAAATAGCAAAGTATTTCTTCAGGTACATTTTTCTGTAAGAGATGTTCTGAACACGAATGCATGTTTGACCTTAACGTCGTTTGAAATATTTTAAATGTACATTTCGATTAAAAGTAATAAATTTCTAACACTGTATTTTTGTCGAGGGATGTTTGTCCTGCAAATATTTGTACACTTTTTAACGATATAAGTACTTTGTCTCATTAAAAAATAAAGGGAAGTTTTCTCAATTTATTTGCAGCTGCGCATGCGTACGGCCTCGCTTTGATTCAGCCTCGCATGAAATACGCCTTTTCTAAGCTCCGCGTTGGTACACGAAACGTGATAAAAATGCGCTTCACTTTGCCTGTGCAATCCAACATAAAGCTATCATAACGCATATTATGCGATGAATGCGATTAGCGCACGTATCGTGTATAAGAAATATTAACATAGCACAAGGGAACATAACGCAACTTAAATCTTATAACAGGGTTTATTTTAACGTGCAGTGATAACCAATTTGTGCAGTGATAAATCGTTATTGTGCAGTGATAAACTCAAATTTTGTGCAGCGATAAAACTAAAATAACGAGATTTGGCATTGAAAAAACAGAATTGCAGCAACTACCAGTAGACACCTATAGCTTGCAAAAGAGAATTTCAATATTAAAACGAGAACACAACAGTAACAATGATCATATGAAATCTCTTGAAAAGTGGTCATGCAAATTTTCAAAAAGTGACACCCAAGTTTTCAAAAATTTTGAATATGTGCAGTGATAAAAATTCCTTAAAATAAACTCTGTCTTATAATGAATATAATAACAGATCTTGAAGTAACAAAACACAACAAAACAGAAGATATGTCACTGTTTGTGAAGATGTGCCGTCGCTCTGCGGAATGTTGTTCTAAATATATCCCAACTGTTCAAATTACAATCCTGACCTGAAATGTCCTTATTATCAATAAACTTGTCACACATGAATACATGTCCACATTTGTAATTTGACCGAGAGGACGCCACTTGCCTGAAAATATCTGTATGTATGCTTTTATGTTTAATGACATCCTCATCCTCAGATAATAAAGATACAACTAGGTAGGTCAATAGGAAACGAAGAACGGTACCAAACGGTTTCGTGTCTGAAAAGCGACGATAGGCCTCGAGTTTATATTTTTCCGTGCTAGTTAGTGAACAGGTCCGTTCTTCATTGGGTTTACTGAAATTTGAAAAAGTGCAACTTTTTTTCCGTTCTCAAATCGTGCTTGCATTTTCCAGTTTAAATTCTCGAGAAAGGAAAAGTTAGATTACGATTGCAAACGCGGTTGATTTTAGCGTAGGAAAGAGGCTTCTGCAAATGACTTATAAAAAACTTTCCACGCATATCATGATTTCAGCTCCTGCGCATGCTTCAGATGCGTGTCACGTTTTTGTTATTCAAGTGCAAACTGCGTTTATTTTGGTTCTTTTCCTTTTTTCTTCGATGTCAAAGCGAATAATAAATGCATCGTACGCTCGTACGTCGTACCATAAAAAGAGCGAAGCCAAATTGTAACCGGGGTTATTAAGAGAACTCCGCTATTGCACAATTCAGCAAAAGACCATCTGGCAGCCGTGTGATTGGTACCGTCCCTCTATTGCGCTAAAATAGTAGCTAGTGGAAATGCTATGGTATATCAACATCGCCATAGTCACGAAGTTCTTCTTATTTACTTAAAACTGAGGCTACCATTAAATGCGAAAATTCAATTGAATTAATTAGATAGCGTATGACCAGTGCACAAGATGTAGTTCAGTTCAGTTAAAGAAAAGTATTGTTTTGGCTAAAGTCATAAATTTTAGAACCAAATTACAGTAATTTTATAGCAAGAAAATTCTTTCGGATACAAATACGGACTTTGGCTCTGAAAAAGCAAACATTTCAGTCATACACTTCTCGTGTTACACTCTTCAGAGTATAAGACGAAAAGCTTTAGCATGACTCGAAATATTTGCTTTTTTCAAAGCCATTTTTCAGTTTTTTACCACCAAAAGATTGTTTGCAAATTACGGATACTTTTAGTTTTTAATTTTCATATCAGATTATCTATATTAATTTTTATTATGTTTATTTTTATGTACTATATTTATATGTATTACATATTAAAATTCCCTGTCATACTGGCAAAGGAAGTATACTTTTCTTAGACATACAATGTAACATTTTTTTCGATAATACTTGGAATAATGAAAATTCTAATACAAAGTAGAGTCATCTTCCAACTTTTCCATGCTTCATTCGATGAAGCAAATGATTCAGTAGCCCGGAAGGTTTTTCAAGATAAATAATGCTTGATAAAAACTGGATAAGAACGCACTTGATAAAAATTATGTTTGGCTATTTACTGCTGTTCTGCAAGAATTGCTAGAAAGTTACCATCAATTGGCTGCTTTTTTTAAAAATCTGACAGCAGAATTGGGGGACAGGCACGCTATGTTCAAAGTAACGTAGCTTTGGCTAAGTTCCTTATTAATAGAACTCTTTTGATCATAATAGCTGCATATTACTTAGCATGAAAGTAGCACTGATGTAAGTTAACATTAAAATTCGGATTTTCGCCAAAAATTTTGGCTACATTAACAAGGCTTGAATCGCAAAGAAAGCAAGAAAAGAGTTTGATATATTTAAATTACAATATCTGTCAAGATATTATAGCATGTCTACTCCATTTCCATCTTCTGATACAAGGGGTTTTGTCTTTTGTAATATGAGTTCCTTAATCTTTCGGCCGTCTAATGTTAGGCTCCTTATATAGTGGTTCCTTATATTGAAGTGTGATTGAAGGTTTATTTAAAATTAAATGCTTAAGAGGAGGACAACTATAAAAGGGTTTTGCATAAATTGTTAAACTTTTATCGCCAAACCCTACATCATCTAACTGGGAAAACACGGTCTTATTTGCTGAGGCTTCTCTGCATACAGACGACGCAACATCAGACCACCAAGCCGTGTCTCCTGAAGAGTCCTGGGAGTCAGTTTCCACAAAAGAGACGTTTTTAACAAATATTTGAATTTCATGACATTTCACAATTAGCAAACATGGTAAATATATTTTGTTAAAATTCGTTCATCGCTTAAAAACATAAGATAAAACATTTGATTTCTGAAGCGTCTGTTATATTTGAAGTAAGTAATGTGGCTTTACAACTTCAAGTTGGCGCTTTAACAAAGTTAAAAGTTTTTTATATAAAATATAGTGATTAAATAAAGAATTATATACCAAAATCTGCGAGAAAGTTTAAAAAGAACGTTTGGCAGGGTCCCTTTCGAGCGTACTAACTAGGAAGAATGGCCTTTCCAGCCCCAGTTGTATTTTTTCAAATAATTTCCATGGAACATTATACATAAAAACAAAAGGCTGGGCTTTCAGCTGAAGTTCTGTTTAAGCTTAGATATGCTCCAAGTCTATTTAGTGCTCGAGAGAGGAGTATTTGTTTCCTTCCTTGATGCCACCCCTGGAAAAAACAAATACTCCTCTCTGAAGCCCGAAATAGACTTGGAACAAGTCTAGTTCAAGCTCAGATTTTTACATAAGTATGGCCTGGTATCTGTATCAAGGAAACTTAGCAAGCTGTACCAATATCTACGTCAATGACCGATTTTCCCATCATATTTTGTCTGGTTTACCACAAGAACTTTCTTTATTTTAGATTAAGGATTCTGTCAATGCTTTTTGTCAATATAACAAGGCATCGTGGAGGCTATATCAACAAAATCTCATCTTACTTTTGAAAACATTTGGCCTAATTGATAAAAAGTTTTGGCAGCTAACTAAGTCAAAGAGATCAATAAAGCTGGTTACCATCTCAAGAGTAAAGTTTGATATAAAAATGTTAAGCGAAGCATGTAAACAGCTAAATTCTTAGTTTTATAAATAAGTTGCGGCCTTGAGGCCACAACCAAAACAGTCGTGTATACGTACGTAGGGTAAAATCATGCTTTAAACTGGGTTTCAATCTAGGGTAATTTTGAATGGAGAGATGCGTATGATTGGGAATACACCGTTTGAAATGTACTATAATGTTGAAGTATGGGACGTTTTAGCCATCTAGATACATGGCAAGCAAAGTATGGCACAAGCTCTTTTTTCATAACTACAGGTAGTTCGCTCAGCATGTTCTCCGAGCTTAGAACTTGCCTTTCTTAATACAGCCATGTTTTTTCCTATAATACCAAACAGTAGACTCATAGTTACAATTTTTCAACAAATTGCTAGTAACGTATATATTTAATTTAAAACTGCTGCGTCAAAATAAGATGATTGGAGTACGCCACTACATCAATTACAGTAGAAATTCACAAAGTAAGCAGCAAAGAATGATAAAAATATTTATTAAATAACATTATTAAAAGCATCGATTGGCACTGTCTATGAGTCATTACGTCATTTGAATTATAAAGGGATAGGGGAGAATGGATGGTTGACTCTCTCTATTTACTCAGACTGCTGTGCTACGACGCTCTTGGCTGTCGTATATAAAACCTTTAAAACAGATCTGTGAGTGGTTCATAGGAAAGGTATGCAGTGGGCTGCATATCATGATACCTAATGCTATTCGCTGCCCAATTTTTTATTGTTATGTAAAATTCAAGTACCACCAGAATACCAAAGTTCACTTTAGGAAAGGCTCTTAAAGTTTTACAGTGATATCTATAAACAAGCACTAATAAAAGTTAACAAACATCTTCCATTAAAATGGTGGTCATCTGGAAACTAATTGGAATTTTTTTCACTTTTATCACTTTCAGTTTTGTGACGGTTTTGCAACAATTTGATACATAGGCGCAGCAATTTTAATGCTGTTGCTTCATACAGTAGTTTGCATTGAAATACCTAAAAATGAAATCAACTTAGTTAGCTTGTTGGGATTTTCGTGTCTCGTTTTAATAAGCATACCACACACTTGATCGCTTTCTCATCTAAATCTGTACCGCATGCCTTTCCGTGGCAGCTAGCTTCTAGGGCCGTTAATGTTGCCAGTCTGCCGTCGAATGACGGAGCATTAAGTTTCTCTGCTTCCATATCTACGCAAATGTTTTCACTTCTCAAATGATTCCAATTTTCCGACATGACGTAACCTCTATAAGCTAGTGTCCAGTCTTCCGGACATTGAGACGTTCCTTGAAGCATTAACGACGCCTCTACTTTCGTAGCGAGACATGAGATGCAAGGAACCTCTTTTCCATGCAGTTCGTCTTTGTTTTTAAATGGAGAATGATGCCTAACTCTGTATTTTACACTGTACATCGGCGTTAAAAATTGGAGGCCTGGGAAGAACTGAAACCCGGGAACTTGCTGTTTGACTGGTCCCTTGTGTAAAGATGAGCACTCATAGTGTGGGTTCATTTTACTATAGTCAATGGTAGTGCGACCTAGAAGAAAACCAAGTCCTATTAGAATAGATACTTGTGCAATCTTTTAAACTGCGCAGTGCTATTTCTGTTAAGCATTACGTAGCAAGGGGAACACGAGGCTTGCTTTGTCTTTGCAATTGACCTCAAATACTTGTTCACTGCAAAACATCATACCAACGTGTTCACTTACCTCCGGTAAGAGACATTATTCCAACCGCAATCGGACAAGTCGCTTTTCCAAACCGGATGAAGGTCGCATTCTTCACTGGTACAGTAACAACAGCAGTTCTCTTATTTCTGGGCGAAAACGAGGATCCGTACTTTTCTTCCAGAAGTTGACTTGCGCTAAGCCCTTGGCAAGGGCAGTCTCGTCCATCGCGACCTGGGGCACCATCTCTGCCTGCTTGACCGGAAAGGCCATCTCTTCCCTGCTCGCCCTTTAGGCCCTGGGGTCCAGCATGTCCCCTTTTCAGCTTTGTCAGCTCAGAGCACCTATGTGTCAGATCGGCAAGCCTAAAAGAGACAAAGAAGATGCAATCACTTTAAACGGGAGAATTCAGCCAGTCCCCTACATGGCGTGAATTCGTTGATAAACAACATCATCATCACAATCCTACATTTATAGCATTGAGCTCCTAGCTGAACAGATGATCAAGTAAAAGAACACAAGCTTGAAGTTACTAGTCAACAGATTCAACTCGGTGCTGAAACCGAAAGTTTGTGAATCTAGGAAAGGGGGTGGGCAGCGACATTGCACAATGGCGTAAACGAAAGGTCATGGTTCCCAATAATAGACAGGTAATACATAGTTTATCATTCCAAGTTGTTTGGGGAGGGAGGGAAGAGACGTGTAATTTAACTCATCATCGTCATCATTTTCAATTATTTCAGGCCAAAAATTGATGATGATCGCTGATGAAGTTTGCTATGATCACATCGATTGATGATGATGGTGGAATAAACCCCGTTTCCATGCATAGAAAGAGCTTGTACGAAATTCATATCAGTTAAGGGTAACATCTTACTCCATGACTCCAGTCATCTCACCAATGCCCTCCTCTCAGTTACTATCTCAAATGATGTCTCGTTGTCTGCCTTAAGACCGGTTTCCACTTGATTCGCTCTGGTCGCGCGACTTGGAGAAATCGAATCAAAAAGTCAGCGAATCGGGGGACGCGACCAGTCGCCCAGTAGTTTAACTGAGTTGAACTACTCATCGAATGGTTGTGCAATCGCAGCGAGCGAGGAGGTTCAATTTGCGGAAGCCCAATGTGCATTCGCTCAGTCGCGCGACCAGAGCGAATAAAGTGGAAACCCGCCTTTATCCTTCCAACATTGCATGACCCATTTATCTCTATTACCATTTCTTTGTCATGTTTATTTACAACACAATCCAATGTTGGATAAACATGTAATCTTACTAAGTTGATTTTTCTTACTTATCTTGAACAGATACAATCCCAGTGATCAACGAGTATTCAATGGCATTAAATGCCGTTTCAGATAAACCCCGCCTTGCTTACCACGCTAACGTGAATCAATGTTTTGTTGATTGCAAGAGAGTATCAACATTTTGTTTATCCATTCGTTTGAATGACTACGGTTTTGCATCCTTTTATTCTACCATCGCCAGTGGTAATGCTTTCTATCCTAAATAAATTCACTTCACAGTCTTTAACAAAAACAGATATGAATGTGATAGCCACTATTGAGTTGTGTGACGCGGACTAGGAGCAGTGGCGGTTTTAAAAGGGGCCCCAGGCTCCGCGCTTATAGTAGCCAAAAAGGGGCCCGAAACCTACGAAAATGTAAGTTAAATAAATTAGGAAGGTGGTAAAACTCTCATAAGAAGATGTAAGAAGATATTTCACATTCAAAGCTCTTTAATGTTTAGAAAACTTGGTGCAGCCTTGTCTCTCGCTTGCCAGAAGTTGTATGCTCTGTACATGATGGGTCGAAGGTTAATGTCTGAAGCTTGTTTGAGTCTTTAGAGGGATAGCGTTTTTGAGTAAATATGCTTTGCAGTTTAGATAAAGAAAACTGCTAGACCATTCCGTTAATCTGCAGAGCAGGCGCAGGAACAATGCAGCTGATAGAGTTTCATAAAAAATGAACTGAAACATATAAACCGATGGCAAGAATTTTGTACAAAAGTGGAAACACTAATGGACAACATATTTCAAAGATACATTCTAAAGATCCGGGCCCCAAAAGTCGCCTCAAATGATGGAAGAATAACTCAGTCTTAACAGAAACACGGATGAAATAAAATCTTAACAGTTGTATGGGCTGTCGCACTGATCTGTTCAACGGACAAGTCCAAACAAAGAATAGTGTGCTTCATTTTGTTTTTCTGGTGATTGGAGCCTCTGGCATTTCGTGGCTTTACGAAAATGCAAATCTTTTTAAGAAGAAAACGGTTAACCAAAAACTGGCATAGCAGGGAACAGTGTTTTGTTCAATTAAAGAATAAAGCCAGGAAATTATTCTTTCTCCACCCAAGTAATATATTATAAAATCATTTAACAATGTGTGTTATATCAAGTCCCTAACGACCTCTGTGTTTCTAAAAAGAAATCTAAATACTTAGCCTCGATAATGTAACCTCTTTATCTGAATTCAGTTGAAATAACTCATGGATACAAAATCGAATTAAGAAGAGATACGAAATTTACTTGGCTAGACTGGGATGCATTTTGCAATCTTGTTACAACAAGGGGTTGAGGTAGTGTTTTAATCTAAATGAAACACGAAGGGAGGCATGTCGTGTTTTTTTGCTTAAAAATGTAAATGGTATTTTGAGTCCGAGTTTCGAAACGGGGGCTTAGTAACACCAGATCTTCGTATCTTCAATTTAGGTGCTTAAGACGCAAAAAGCACTGTTGTGTCTTTCAAATGACAAAAACATGCAGCAAAACTTTGCGAAAACAACACTCATTCTCAAACATTTACAATAACTATTAGAAAATATACATTCTTTATAAAAGTGTTTTACCGCCGTGTGTACTAGACATAACCGAACCTCATCCTGGCTCTTAACAATGTTTTTCCTTATAATAAAAGAGATTAGGAAAAATGCTTGTGACTTTAACATTATCCAGCGACAGTCATGTCGGCTCTAAACCTCATTTGAAAAAAAATAAGTATATTAAATGTATTAAAGAGCGCTTTTGTGAGTTGTACGATCACACGCAGCTAAGGTGTCGTAACCTAATCCTGGCAACAAAAAAGAACTGTTTTTATAAGTAATAATGGAAAAAGTCATACCGCTCAGGATGCTAACCTTATGACTATAGATGTGTTTAGAAGTGTTAAGACAATCAGTTTAAAAATCCCAGGGAGAGAGAGATAGGTCACACACTCGGTCATAAAACATGGTGTTGGTGGAAATTATGGTTTCTGAGGTAATTCGAACGTAGCAACCGTTTAAACTAAACCAGGACTGTTGTAAGCCGGTAGCGTAGTGAGGGCAGGAAAGATGGGTCTGACGCCCCTGATTGGCAAAAATATCGATGAAACGAATTTTCTGGTGTTTCAGAGGGCGTGGACTTCCTTTTCCTTTCGCTCAACTCACCTTCCTCCCAAATCTTGCCACCCCGGCTACGCTACGGTTGCACACCTTCTCAAATTTAAGTCATGTATATAAAGCCTTCTCAAGCGTCATGATCTCTTTAAAATATAGAGTTAGACCTGGTTTACACGATGGTACGAAGTCCTTCGGTATTTCCAGTGACGGTTTTAAAGGGGGTCCGGGGGGCCATGGTCCCGGGCCCCCACGCTTATTGTAGTCAAAAGTGCTCCCACACCTCAGAAAAAAGATAGAAATTGTAAAGAACAAGGGCTTGCAAATTGTTTAGCCCCGGGCCCCGCTGTCCCTAAAACCGCTGCTAGGTAATTCCCTTCCGTTCGCGTCTTTCGGAACGATTTAAAAACGGTATTTGATTATTTCAATGCAAAAACAGATCAATTACCCTCTGGTCTGGGCCTGTAAACGGGGCCTTAGAAAAATGGCATTAATTTTTGCAAGGTCTTTTAACGTACTAATTAAAGACCAACGACGTCTTCCTTTTACAAAGACTTTCTACCAACATAGCCAAAACTATCTCTTGAATCTTTGTATGGCTAGAGGTAAGTTAGTTGAGGCTACTTGATTTTCTATTTCCCGACCAGAATCTACCACTGCAAACTATAAATACTGCGAAGGCGCAGATAAGGGTTCTAGGCCCTCAAAAGCGGTAAATACAAACAAAGTAGTTTTGAAAATAAGAGCTCGGAAATGACAAAAATTGACACAAGTCACAATGAAGTTCAGGAAACCAGCAAACGAAGTAAGTAAATATTCTGAGAAAACAAAATTAAGGTAATCTCAAATCTCTTCACTCCTGGTCGAGTTTTTGCCCACTGGCTTATCGGCCTATAGTATGGCCGCCATATCTTACATGCATTCGCTTGATATAGCAAAGTGATCTTTTTAAACTGTTTTATTATCAGAGGCCTCTCCTAATATTGCAGCTGGGTCCAGAGTTTGAATGAATAAATATGCGCTTGTGGGAACTCTTTATTATATCAAAACATCCTCGAATAACTCAAATTTTCCTTTGGAAAGGAATAGCGAAGTTGATGGGGAAACTTACAGGGCCTTGAAGTTATGATGGAGAAAATAACCTTGTAAATATTTTAAATCATGCACTTTTTTCATCGAAAGGAAATTTTGCGAGGCTTGAGTACATCCAGCTTGTCTCGTCCAGCGACTCGTTTATTCGGTTCCTGGGTTGCCATAAATAAAATTATTTCATTTTAACGTTGTTTGAAGTCTCAAAATTTTTTAGGTTGAATCTCATACAAGAACTTTAGCTGTTGATCTGCAGATAAACAGAAATTTAAAATGTTTTGGTTTAAGTATAATGGATTTGCCAATTTACGAGTAAAAGGAAAGTCGAGTTTTTGTCAAGTGTGCCGATTTACGAGACTGCATGCAAATTGTTCATCAATCCGATGACTTTCACTACAAACAAGCTAAACTTTTACTTGTGCTCTGCATATTTAGGCATCTTTACAATTCTTCCAATTGCAACGAAAATTTTGTCTGGTTAATGGAATTCCAGACATTTCACATCGTACATTGTCTGACAAAAGACGGCTACGTCAATTTCAGAATTATATTTAGCAAAGTACGAGTGCCATCTGTTAAGTATCCAACTTTAAAATAGTTCTTGTTTGTAAATAGCGTTTTCATTGTTTAAAGAAAATTCCCATGACCAGTAATTCCCAGAGGTTCTTTCACAACAGGCTTGAGAATGAAGGCATGCAGTCATGATTTCGAGTGACCATTTTGCTAAAATGGAACTTACGACAACACCTTTGCAGTGGAGATCTTGCCACTAATCCCAGAGCGTATCATTGACTTGGAGACAAAATGTATTTTTCTGGGAAGAGGGGGGAGGGGAGGGCTCAACATGTTATAAGCCAGAGGATAATGACTTATTGTATCTTTTTAAGCAGATGTTGAAAAGTATTGGGGCTAAGCCCCTCGGCTACCTTTCCCATCACAGTGGCTTCTGGAACTTGTACTCACCTGAGACAGCAGAAGAAAAATTGTCAAGGTTCTATGTTGATGCAGCTTCCTGGCGACGCCTTTCGTGCCTATCTAAATAACAGCAAAACGCCGAAAAATTTTCTTCAACAATATTCATTGCATGCAACACTGAACCATTTGCTTTGAAATTACTTTTGAATGGTGTGTTGCAGGGGCTGACTGGCGAAATCCTCGCATATATTTGGTTGAAACGAAATTATCTCATGAGATACTACAAGGCAACAAACCCCAGCCCCCATCTTGAAATTAGGGCGTCCTTGAAATATGTGCATAGATAAGGCTTGGCTGGCGAAAAGTTTGTTTACAGGAATTTAGGACTTGGTATCATATATCGAGTTAAATGTGATAGAGGTGAGGTAATTTAACATAAGAGGGGTGGACAAGACGCCACGACAATGGGTAAATCAACTTAAATTGCCTTCTGTAAAGGTGCTTTCGAGTTTTGTATTAGATATTTCATTTCACTATGCCTATAGACAATAAAACAATCGAAAAGGAGCTGATAGCCATGTAATTGTAGTGGTTTTATATTGATAAGGTAAATAGACCAAATTTCTGTGGTCAATATGATATCATTGAAAATAATAGCAGTGGTTTTTACATTATTGCACGGTCCATATTATTACATTATTACACGGCCATGGTTGTTGTAGTCGTACGTTTGTTCCATAAGAAAAATCTACCAGGAAACCGGTTTGTACTCCAGAACGGGATGAAGGGGAAAACTCAGATGGGGGTAAAGTACAGTGGTGTGGGGCAATTTAAATGTGATTGAAAATTTCTTAAGGAGGACCTTTAGGCTAGTGATCGGTTTTTTGAAAATCGAAACAGATTCTCACCTGAGCAAAAAATGATTTATCCCTGATGGAAATGAGAACGTCATTTGAGGGGAAAATTGAGAACTCACAATGGAAGATTCAAAATATTGTTTTTGCCATTGCTTTCGCCAAATTTTGCCACTACCGTAAATCTTCGAATTGGCCCCCTTCGAAAAAGCCCCCCTCGAATAGGTCCCCATCTCAGAGTTAAAAATTATAAATAATTTGATGATTTATGCCATCTGTGGTTGTGGTTTTATATGCCCCCTCGTATAAGCCCCCCTCGGATAAGCCCCCATCCAAATACATCAATAATGAATAAGCCCCCAGGGGGCTAATTCGAGGATTTTCGGTATTCCTATAACTTGAGAGAAAAATCGAGTGAACCGCACCTTCTCATTCCAAACCCGAGCATACAACTTTTGGCATTTCTAGTTATCTAAACAATTTTCACTAACATTTTTAATGACACACCCGGCTTTGGTTTCTCGAATCCTAAAAGTTTTCATGAAAAAAGGCCAGGTTGGCTCCGGCGAAAGAGCGGTGGGGAATTATGAGCTGACCGGCTTTTCAAGACCTTTGCTTAATTATGCGTCTTCAGCTTGCCATGTAAAAATTTTTGGCGTGATTTGGGACTAGAGTTTCCATGGTTTGGGACTATGAGACTAGTTTAATCGTCCCTGTAAGTCAGCTTTGTTGTCCAGGAGTAATATTTTGTCACTCATTGGGAACGGGCAGATCCCAGATATGTATCATGGCTCACAGAAAAGAGACGACTCTTCTGTGGCTGTGTTTCAACATTTGAAACCAGATTGAGCTTTCGATCTCATCTGACAGGGACAATTCAGTTTAGAATAGACATTAAAAGTACCCATTAAAAACCGGTTTTTCACAATCCTATCTCACCCTCTCTCTCAGATCCACGAGAACCAATAATTTTCCAAAAACTAAAAAATCTTATTTTAGTATTGTAATATTTGAGAAAATTATGGAACAATTTTTAGGTAAGCAATATCAATTACGAATGAAAGCAGGCTATAGACACAATATCGTTTTCTCTTGAGCTAGAGATAATCGTGGATATACGTGATGATTGCTACCATATCGAATTCCTTTCGACCTTTGGTGCTGAACCTAAAAGAGTTCATTGGTGAATTCAGTTGATTTCAGACAGTCAGTAACCTACTGGAAAATATGAAAACCTACCTTTTATCCAAGATGTCGATCCTCTTTGTTAAGTAATCAATAGAGTTTATCATATGCGCCTGTTTTCGTTTGACATGCACCAGACTGGACCAGCCGATGCCAAAACACGCAAATAGAAAGACCAGACTTGTTGGGCAACTCATCCTAGGTTTGTCTTGGCTAACAGAAAACTACAAATTCTGCTTGTGGTTTTATCCTCATACAAGTTGATCCACTGTGCGCCTCTAGCGGTTTCTCCGGAAAATTCCCTTGCCCAGCCAATGGTACGTCGGTATATACGATGTGGTGTCAGCCCTAACTCAGACTGTAAGAATATCGAAGTGGCTAGATGAAGCTTTCAGTGTCTATAGCTGCCGCCGTGTGACTGTACATCGATTAGTTGATATACTCAATGAACCCGCATTATTGCAATGCGCATTCGTTTGCTGCGATTATTGAACGCATGATGGCCCACGCGAGACTCATAACACGAATCGAATCAAATATACAAACCAGTTTTATTAAACGTTTGCTCGGAACAATCAGGACGACGCATAGGTTTCAAATAACCGGATAATCTAGCCTTTTGCCTTTTCTGCAAAAATGTCGTTTAGCGTTCTCCTTTATCAGGGCTTTTATCTCTGATCACAGTGCTTTGATAAATCACTTTATTGTTCCATTCATTTCGTTTGGTATCAATCCTACAATTTAGGGCTGGCCAATAGGGGTTAATCAAAATTTGAGATAGGGGCTGACCATACCCTGGGGTATTTTCAAAAAGTCTCACTGATATCCACAAAACTAAATGAATTTATTTGAAAAGATGAAAAAGTTTTCAAATTGTATCCCTCTTTACCTGCAATTGTGTGCATGTGCTTAAAAGCTTAAAGTAGATCCATTCTCCTATTCATTGACCTCTCTTTTCACACGTCAATATAACGTAAAATTTTAACCATTGGTCTCGAATATTGTCCACATATTTACTTGGGGAAGGTAATTTATTATCAAAAATCTGCAACAGCTGCAAATAAAATGTGTTTTTTATAAATATGAAGGATAAGAACTTGATGCTTTGGTTGCCCTGTCATAATTTGTTCGAAACGTCACTGCAGACAATCCAACTTTCTGAGGCCAGCGCGGTGTCTAGAGGAACCAAACCAAAGATTTATAGACCACCAAGGGAAATATGGCTCCTTTCATTTTTTATTTCAAAGACAACAATGAACATCGGAACAGCTTACAGGAAAGCAAGAAACCATTCTTTAAATACCTAAATTAAGCGGACAAGGTGTGGTACCGGTTGAATTTAGAATGAATCTTTGTGTCATTCATTGTTCAAATCCAGTGATTGCTTGATCAAAAATAAGCCATTTGCTTTTTTATCACCTAGCAGTTTTCATTTTAGGTATTTGTAACAAAAACAAAGAGAAGTATTGAAGGATTTGTGCCACGGAATAGAACCACAAAGTAACTTTGCTTTCTCAGTTGGATCAGGCTCTCAGATTCTATAACACTGGAACTTCCCCTTTGTGTGATGTCGAAGCAAAGAAATTGACTGTTGCATCATTGTTTTAAATACTTTTTATGCAAATCATCCAATAAGGATATGACAGGTTTCAATAGAGTTCTTTATCAACGCAGGCTGAAGGTGAAAAACAGCCATGATGATCATTCATTCTATTTGTTCCAGTTGTTTGCTCTTCATCCGCTCTCCTCTTTCCCCGTTACTTGTTTGCAATGTTGAACTGTTCTCCCTTTCTGTCTAACCCGAGTAGAACACAATTCTGAAAGGAGAGATTGTGTAAATATCCAGCCTCGCTTTGGTAGCATAAGGATGTCTCGCTCTGGATTTTTCACCAGTAGATTCTTCTTATACATGTGTTTCGAACAATAAGGTGACGTTGGTTTGCACACGGATTTAATTTCAGGCAGAATACAATGATACTTGGAAGGGTTATGATGGTTATGATGGTTTGAAAGTGTTAATCAAACCCAGAGCGGATACTTTTTGAAGCCCACTATAGTTCAGGGCCTTTTTTAACATACCAACTAGAGGGACATTTGCTATTGTCTTAAACAATAGGCTATTGTTCTTTTCCCAAAATAAACAAAGGTTTGCCCCCGCAGCTTATTTCCCTTGGACTAGACTATGCTACAGTTTATCTTAGATTTTTCTATCTTGAAGATTTCCAACCGTATCTAAGGTACAAGAGTATCAGCAGAGGATGTGTTCATGTACCTTGAATAATCGGTTTCTACCGTTGATCTTTGATGACTATCCGTGATTTTGTAGACGTAATCACTTGATTTTAGACTATGATAACACTAATACCGGAGATGCGTTTGATGTAAGACTGTTTTCTGTCACAAGTTTTGATTTAACTGAGTATTTGCAAACCGCTTACAAATATGTCATTTGTATCATTTAGTCACTTGTTATTGTTGTTTAGTCACTTTGGTATTAGGTGCACAAGGCTACCAAGATTCATGCTAAATGCAACTTTCACTGTTTGTGGATGAATTAGATCATTCAGGGGGCGGGGGGGGGGGCTTAATTCGCAGTAGGTGGTTTTTCCTTGCACAAACGAATCAGATCTTTTCAGTCATCAAACGAAAAACCAAATTTGCATTTCAATGCTTTATCTTTCATCCATGTTACGCAATAGCATCTTCCCTTCCTGACAATTCAATCTAAATGCTACCTCAAATTTAACGCCTCTTGAAATGTTTACCAAGTCACTCTCTTGGACCCCGTTTACACTGTCCCGTGCAAGTTTGGAACCGTGACAAAACTGTTCCCTTCCGTTCCGTTTACACTAGCACTGTGGAACCGAGACGATTTTGCTCTGCTATCCGGAACAGTTTTTGACCCTGCTTTGAAAGCGAACGAATTTCGTACCGTCACGGTTCCGTTTTTGAACGGGACAGTGTAAACACCTATCTGAGACGATATTGTTACGGATTCACAAAGAGGTCTTTTGTATGGCTGTTTCAGGTTATCGAGGCTTTGATTGTGGCGTAACTACGTTGTCAAATTCTGAAGAAAAGGACATTCTGAAGACAAGACGACGACAGAAAAAGCTTGTATTGTTTCCCAGTCCAAGCCTTCATTGGACTTTGCAGTTTTGTAGTCTAAAATAACACTGAAAATTAAAGCCACCTTGTCGTCCATCCAAGTAAAGTTTTTATCGGCCTTCCGCTCCATTTTAGCTCTCAATAAAATTTAGATTGTTGACTTCGGCGGCAAAATAAAAGCCTCGGTTGACTAAATACAGCTTCTTCTAAACATTGTTCTACCATTCAATTAAGGTCGTACCGGTACAGTATAAACGGAACGGCTAAACGGAACAATTTGGAACCGCGACAGTGTAAACACTTGCGAACCGTAACGGTACAAAATTGTCCCGGGACAGTGTAAACGGGGTCGTAATCTTCTACAATTTCCTGACATATTAACCTTACTAAAAGTCCTGACCCTGACCTATTCTCTTTTAACGCTATTGATATCAAACACCAACAATACTCAAGCCAACCTCAAACCAAACGCAACCCATCATAAGAGAAATCATTTGATTTCTTGCTTTTAATATTTCCTTCCAATTTGTTCTGTCCATGTCCAACTTTGTCAACAATTTTGTGGCGGTACAGTGCAGAACTTGAAAATGGCTTTCAAAAAAGCAAACATTTTACGACATACTAAAAGCTTTTTCGTCTGACACTCCTCGGAGTATAAAACGTCAGAATGAGAGTCCGAAAGAACACGATGGAAAATATATACCCAATGGTGGATCGAAATAGGCCAATCAGAAAAACGCAAGCACAATACAAGACCAGTCAGTGCTGCGAGCCTATAGAAAAATTACCACTAGATTCCAAGAGAGAAAACGAATTCCATCGTTGTGACAAGTTACATGTCTGCTCAATTTCATGGGTTCAGAGCAGCTTACAGTGAAAACAGGCTTGCTTTAAAATTTCCTGGGCAGTGGGATAGGAAAGCTTTTAGCTTCAAGTCTCAAAATTGAGATTTCACTGTCTTTATTGTTTGTTGCTGAGGGGTGGAATATGGGTATGTTAACGACCTGCTTTTGCATTGCATTGCAGTCAAGCAATGCATTCTGATTGCCGCTGGAATAAATTTTAGATACTTTGTAACGTAGTAAATTGTCTCTTTATTCTAGTTTTTTCTAGAAATCTAAACCTGTGTTCTGCAACCTTGTCCTGGGTATGACTCAAAACTGCATCCGATGTTGAGGCTTCAGTTTCGGAAGTTCTGAAGTTCTGGGAAAGTGTGGAGCCACCCCTTAGTCACCATTGCTCTCGTGTCCATCCTGGCCCGGTATGGTAGTACCCGTCAGGGTCCCAGCTATGGGTGAATAACTGTGTTTTCGAATGAAACCATGGCGGTCCCACTTTGTCAAACTGACAGTCGTTCCGGCAACTGACAGCTCTGTTTGTCAACCTGGCAGCAGTCCTGGTGAAAAACAACAGGATTTTTCTACGGTCGTCTCAGCTAAGCTGTGCCACCGAACTACAGACGAATCCTGCCAAGGGACACTGATTAGCACCATTTAGTGTCGTCATCTATGGTGCAGCCTCACGTTTTGAATATGGATACAGTGAATGGTAGTTATGGAGATCATGCTAACACAAACGAATACCGTGCATTCTACCGAAAATAAGCGAAGACCGTGCAAGACAGCAAAAGAAGCTCGAGGAAATCATCCCTTAATTCTCGGTGCATGGAATGTACGAACAACTAATGATGATGTGAACTCTGTAAAGCCTGAACGTGCAACTGCCATCATTTGCAGGGAGCTCGAGAAAGCACAAATAGACATCTGCGCACTGAGTGAAGTTAAGCGACCTGGCTCAGGAAACGTAATCGAGAGAAGCTGTATGTTATTCTGGAGTGGCGGCGAAAAGAACGAAGCTGGTGTAGGTTTTGCTATCAATAATTAACTAGTTGCTCAGTGAGTCAATCCCAGTCCGATCAATGACAGACTCACGACACTAAGGATTCAATCTAGGAGTGGTGCCTACCTAACGCATATAAGCGATTATGCACCTACAATGCAACGCACACAAGAAGAAAAGAGCAGTTTTATGAAAGGCTTGGAGACTGCCTTGACATGGCAAAAAATGATAACACGCGTCGGGAAAGACTGGAAATCCTGGCCATCTGTGATTGGGAAACGTGGAGTGGGTAAAATGAATTCAAATGGGATTATGCTACTAGAATTCTGTGCCAGATTTCAATTATCTATCATGGGTACAATATTTCAACTGAAAAATCGCCTTAAAAGCACATGACAACATTTACGCTCGAAGCACTGGCACCATCTGGATCATGAAATTGCCAGCAAAGAAGCTAAACAACACATCACAGTTAATAAGGTCAACTTAACAGCCTGCTTGTTTGCAAATGCCGATTCTCTATCAAACCAAAGAGAAAAGGTGCTAAACCACCTAAGAAGCTTAATACTAACGCGAACAGTGAAAGAAAAGAAAAACTTGAACGCTTTTTAATGAGAGACTACCTGCAATGCCTGCCAAAAGTCTTGGAACACTGACATCAATTTCCAAGGTCAAAACCATTCATCCCCCTCTCCCCCACGGAACAATGTTGATTTACTATCAAACGGGTTAGGATTTTAGGAAGCACTTTCTTTTGCGCTTCTTTTATGATATTTCTCTAAATCATCAACATTGTTTGAGGGGGAAGGGGGCGGAAGTAGCAATTTTTCCATGAAAGGCATGAAAGATATCAAATGCAGCGTAAATTACTGGGTGTTCCAAGTACTGTTGGCAGGCATTGTGAGTGCAAAACTGGTTGGGAAGATTTTAAGCTGCTCCCCCAGGAGGCGACAGATCACAAATTTGGAAGGAAAAAGTTGTTTCAAACGACTGGTTTGACGATCAGGACGAGGAAATACAAAAGTTGCTCAAATAGAAGAAGCCAAACAGGAACGCACTTAGAGAACGCTTCAGAGCAATGAAAAGCATGTGGTTTAAGAAAAAAGCTGAACAAGCAGAGCAATATTCACAAGAAAAAACCATCTTGAATTTCATGCCACGTTAAATGTAGTGTATGGTCCAAAAATGAAAAATTCACTCCCTAAAAGATCTAAAGATGGGGTCCTACTTAGAACATAGGAAGAAATCAAAGATAGATGGTTAGAACACTTCAGTGAACTCCTAAATCATCATACAGAAGTGGATCTGAGCATCGTGGAGAATATCGAACAACATCCAATAAAAGACTAATTAGATGACCCAATTATTGAAAGGGACCTGGACCAAGCGCTCAAAAATATCAAGCTTGGAAAAAGCCCTGGTTCAGATGGAGTGCTAGTGGAAGTTCTTGCGAATAAAGTTGCCCGATTGAAAGTTGTTCTCTTAACAATGGTTATCATTTTTTATATGAGTCTTTGACTCACATGTCCTAACCTATCTCACAAAAGTCATAGTATACAATCAATGTCTCACGCCTGTACTAATGTACGGCAGTGAATCGAGCTATTTACAATCATTAATAGAGAGTGCGGGAAAATAACCGACCCGAGCGAGGCTCGAACTCACGACCCCTGACTTTTTACGTCAAGTGCTCTACCGCTGAGCTATCGGGTCGTGCTTTTAAGCCAACACCCAAGGCCGAGTCATTCACCCGAATTGCCCCTCTCTTTTACCAGATACACAGGGGAGCCATCGCAGCTCCATCACAAAGTGCAGAGGACCTGAAGAATGAGAGAAGACTGCCCACACCAGGAGGGCCATCGCAGCCCCAACACTGGATAGGGTTGAAGAGAAAGTTTACAGACAACAGGATTTCGAAGATATTTACAATCAACATATTCAGCGTATACTAGCAACCTCATAACTTGTCCATATCTAACATCAAGCGTGAACAACTGACTCATAATTACATATTCCGACGTCGAGGTCTCGGGACTAGTGAAAGGATTAACCGGATGTTTCTCCTTCACAGCATACTCCCCCATTGATTTTGCTTTTAAATCATTACAATACATTAATTATATAGATAACATAACTTCATAAAATAAGCATAAAATTAATGAACAGCAATATCTAAAAATTAATAGCTTTCTCTTCTAAGCAACTCTCCTACTACTGCGGCATTACGTCGAGGGCGAGTGCTGCGGGCTTCGCAATGCTGCGGGCTTTCCTGTTGCGGCTTCGCGTCCCTTACATTGTTCTTACTTGCGTTAGCGCTGGTGCTGTGATCCTTAGCAGAGATTTCTAAGGGAATCAATAACTTCAAAGGTCTTCTGAAGATCTTACCCTTGCTTTCTTCTACCTGTACCTTTGCAGATCTTACATTTCCACCAGCTTCAACAATCAACTCCACAACTTTGCACAGCTTCCAAAAGGTCCTTTAACTTTGTTCATCCTTCAAAAGAACAATGTCTCCACAATTAACAATAGATTCCTTTACATGGCCTTTTGGTTTATGACATTCCATTAAACCTAACAAATATTCTTGCCTCCAACGTCTGCTAAATGTTCCAGAGAGCAAGCGATGATATTTGGCCCTTTTTGACAACGTTTCATATGTACTGACGATTTCAGTGTATCCATCTTGAGGCAATTGAGTAAGATTCCTACCATTAATTAAATGAGATGGCGTAAGTGGATACGATCTACCATCCGCATCGTTGTATAAATACGTAATAGGCCGGGAATTAATGATGCATTCAACTTCAGTTGAATTGTACTCGATTCTGCATCTTTTAAAATAAGCGACCGACAATTTTACTAGGCAACGTTTTATACTCCTAATGAGTCTCTCCCATGCACCTCCTTGCCAAGGGCTGCGATCGACAATAAATTGCCATTTTACATCCTTACATCCAAAGATTTCTCCTAACTGGGAGAGCGTATCAAACATTGGATTTCTTTTGAGGCAGTCTTAAAATTCTTTGCGTTATCGCTAATGATTTCTTTATTTAGTTCTTCCAAAAGTAACTTCTTTTCGTTAAGCGTGGTTCCGATCGATTGCAGTTTGATAGCAAAATAGGCGTTAAATTCATTTGTTCGTAGTTCATCAATAATTTCGTTTGCTTGCGTTTGAAGCTTTGTTACGACAATTCGATTCGATTCCCTCCACGAAGAGCAACCAACTTCCTCAGTTATCTTGTATCTTCATTCGAAATTTTTGAATAATTTTCTTGCGCGTATTCCATCGTCTTCTTACTGTGCCCTGGCCCTCGCTGAGCGCCTTTTTTTGGAAGAATTTAGGGCAGGAGATTCGAAGAAGACACCATCTTGGGTTTTCACAATTCTATAATAACGGGAACAGAATCGAACTATTTACAATCAACATATTCAGCGTATACTAGCGACCTCATAACTTGTCCATATCTAACATCAAGCGTGAACAACTGACTCATAATTACATATTCCGACGTCGACGTCTCGGGACTAGTCAAAGGATTAACCGGATGTTTCTCCTTCACAATAGGGACAGAAGGGACAGAAGGGACAGAAGGGACAGAAGGGACAGAAGGAACAGAAGGGACAGAAGGGACAGAAGGGACAGAAGGGACAGAAGGGACAGAAGGGACAGAAGGGACAGAAGGGACAGAAGGGACAGAAGGGACAGAAGGGGCAGAAGGGACAGAAGGGACAGAAGGGACAGAAGAGGCAGAAGGGACAGAAGGGACAGAAGGGACAGAAGGGACAGAAGGGGCAGAAGGGGCAGAAGGGGCAGAAGGGACAGAAGGGACAGAAGGGACAGAAGGGACAGAAGGGACAGAAGGGACAGAAGGGGCAGAAGGGACAGAAGGGACAGAAGGGACAGAAGGGACAGAAGGGACAGAAGGGGCAGAAGGGACAGAAGGGACAGAAGGGACAGAAGGGGCAGAAGGGACAGAAGGGACAGAAGGGACAGAAGGGACAGAAGGGACAGAAGGGACAGAAGGGGCAGAAGGGGCAGAAGGGACAGAAGGGGCAGAAGGGACAGAAGGGACAGAAGGGGCAGAAGGGGCAGAAGGGGCAGAAGGGGCAGAAGGGACAGAAGGGACAGAAGGAGTTCGTTTTCACCTTAGGACTTCATTGGGATCTCAATACCTTATTTTTAAGTTTTGTACCACCAAAATATTTCTTTAGAAAGGGAAAAGGGAAAAGGGGAAAAAGGGAAAGGAGAGGAACTTGGCAGAAAATGAAAAGGAAGGGAAAGAATAAAGAAAGAGAGGAAGGAGAAGGGATTGCGTTTGCAAGTATATTCGGGAGGAAATAAAAAGGGCCATAAAAAAAGAAATCGTAGGTTTCAGGATCCTGTTAGATGCGAATTTTTCCAGATTCTTACAGAAATCCGGGACGATAGTCTAGCCTTATTTTGCCAAATAATTTACCTGTTATCGGATGTTCTTACTACAAAAATTTCAAGAACCGTTTGAAAAGATAGATAATGATGAAAGTCTTCTTTTCTGGTGACGACAAATTCAGTGATAATAAATTTGGTATTCACTTTTTGCTAGTGCAGAGTTGCTAGAAAGTCTGTAAAGAGTATTCATTTAGAAAAAGCAATACAGAACATTTCAATTTTCTTTTAAAAATATACATTGGGCCTCGCCACAAAAGCCTCGTCAATGTTAACAGAATGGCACCTTATGGAACTGTCCTGGTGGATTATTCACGAGTTATTCTTCATGCAAAGCAACAAAACAATTCTCGAGGCACTCGTTGCTGGTGGCAAGAAATTTCTGGTGGTGTTCTAAATCTGTTGGTTAGTTTGGCCAAAAGAACGGTTTGTGGCTTAGATAGCTGTACAATGGTGCCCTGTCCGGTGTGTCCCTAAAAAGAAATTGTCGATATGCAATTAAAAATACATCTAATATTATTACCTCACGTCTTTAACACCCTCTTTACACTGTATGATTGTAGGATGATCAGATTTTTTATTCGCATTTGACAAAGAGATCAGAACAGAGATTGGCAAAGTATGCGAAGGTTTTTTGCGGTGGTATAAGCTTAATTTAAAACACCCTTCAAATTTAGCATGGAAGCGCCAAACACTCCCACAAAATGTGCTCTTTAAGCAATCACTTTGCTTTTGCAGGCTTTTTATCCTTAAAAGGAAAATATTGCAAAGGAAAAATGTCAGTGAACCTGGTGGATGTTTTGAATGTGGTGGAATCACCAACCTCTGTCCTGATCCTGAAATCTTCTGTTTAATACATAATCTACAGTATAATTTTTCATATCAATAGAACACACACACTGCAACCTTTCTAGAGCATAAACAGAAAATGTAAAAAAAAAAACTGTTTATATTTGAAAATAAAAATCATTCTAGTTTCGGACCAAAATTTGTTTTCTATAAAATGAACCCTATTTGGAGAAAATGAGGCCTGTACAAGGGGGTTTCTTACATGTGGGTACTTGCTGTTTGGCGATGGTCTCAGTAATTATACACTACTCCCAGTTATATTGATTGCACGACAATGGACGGTACTGTCATAAAGCTTGATTTGATTTGACTTTGACAGTACCTACTGATAAGAAACTCATATCCTGATGATGAAAAGTCTCTGTTGTCTGTTCATAAGAAACTTTCTGAGACCTCAGTGTAGAAAAGCGGTTTTTAAAATGCGGGTACTTACTGTTCTTAAATCTAGTTGCTCTTGGCGTTAAAATTGCTTTTGCAGACGTTAGGAGACCACATCACTTTGGGCTCTTTAAATGTAGACAGACCGGTTGAAGGAGACGTCCTTCAACAAATGTCTGTGTGCTATTTATCAGAGTACAAGAGAACCGATGGGATGAGTGATAAAGAGAAGAAGACAGAGACGCTGTCAACATTTATAGCAAGTGTTGAGCATTTCTAGGACCAATAGAAACAACCCCAAAAAGTTAGTTTCATATTTTTGGTCCCTTGAAACTAAGTCATCTGATACCATAATTTGTCGTTCTAATCCTTGACATTACATCGGGATATTGTTTTTAGTCCCTCATAAATCCTGTCCTTAGTCCTGTTTTTAATATCTTTTTGTTTTTCCCCGTTTGTCTTGATATTGGCTTTAGGGAAGTTAACTTATTGACTGCATTGTACAGACTTCATCAATATGAGTATCAAGCATGAGACTTTGAAGTCACATGGCTTTCATCCTTTACCTTAAAACCATTACTCATTCCAAACTTTTCTATATGTTTACCAATTTCAATGATAGTAGCCTGTACATTATAAGAGTTTGCAATCAATTTATTTAGTTTAAACTATTCTAGGCAATTTATTGTCAGATTTAATAGTTATTCAGCAAATATTCTGGCAGACAACTAATCTTGTTTAGTAAGGGGATAACTTTTTCTGCATCGCAGGTGAGTACCTTTGCCAAAAGAAGATTTTTGGAAGAAGGTCAAAGGCTTTTGATGAATTCGTAAGAACAGCATTAACTTATTCATGGCTTTTCAAACCCATTTTCTAAGCATCAATGAGCCTTATAAACGAGGATATTGGGAAAATATGTCTTCTTTATTTGCATATTTGAGAATTTGACTTTCAAGAAAGGGTGAAAGTTGAAGCTGTGTTGCGTTTTCAAATTATTTTGAAAAAGCTGCCAGTAGATTTTCAGGTCTATAATTGTGAACAACTTTTTGGCGATACAGAACTTGAAAATGGCTTTGAAAAAGGAAATATTTCACAACATACTACTTAAAGCTTTCTAAAAATTAATGTCATTAATAAAGAAATTGCTTTTCTTATTTACAGAAGTATGGTTTTCTTTATAAAACCTTATAGGCTGTAAGATGACAACAAGAGAAACTTTAAAGACTTTTGCATTAGTTATTTCCTTATTATGTTCAAGATTAAAAACTATATGTCGTGTTTCTCCTGTAGTTATCAGCTGAATCGTTTATCGGGCGAGTGATCATTGCGATTTACCCCTGCATTCTTATATGGTAAGTACCATCTTCAAAATTTAGACTTTATTACACGCTTTTTGTTATAGGAACATTTGGCTTCAGTTCAGCCTGGCGTATCTTTTTTTTGCAAAATTTCAGCCTCTCCTGTTTCTTATTTTGTTTCTTTATTTTGTAATGGAATTTGAAAATGGCTTTGAAAAAAGCAAACATTTTACGACATACTAAAAGCTTTTTCGTCTGACACTCCTCAGAGCATAAAACGTCAGAATAAATTACAAATATTCTGACGTTTATGCTCTGAGGAGGGTCAGACGAAAAAGCTTTTAGTATGTCGTAAAATGTTTGCTTTTTTCAAAGCCATTTTCAAATTCTCTACCGCAAAAAAATTGTTCGTAATGGAATTTCCTTTACATGGTTTTGTCTGGAGTAAACCTGTGTTTGATAAATTAATTGATGCTATTTTGAATATCCCTTTCGGTTTGCTATCTTTCATTATTCAATTTTTGTTTGTAATTTATTCCTTAAATTTAATTTTAGTCTGCCTTGTTTCTTATGTTGTTCCTATTATTGGGGCAATGCGCAACCTGATATTCCTTTTAAGGCTGTTCTTGTAAAAAGAGCATGTAATGCACAGTGCATTATTGCTAGGGTGGCACCATCTAGGGGAAATAAACACAAAATTAAAGTCACTTCTTTTTTTACTGTCAAAAAGGCCCGTTTACCAACAAGGGACGCTAATTTTGCCAAAATGGAAGGCCCATAAGCAACTTTTGATAACGTAAATACAGTTTCAAGTTTTAAAATCATAGGATTACATCATAAAATGACAACGCCAAGATAGTACCCCTCCCCTAACCTTTTCTCGTAGAATTTAGACGATTACAATATCGATCCTTCAGAGAACTGGGGGCGTGTCCCCCCCGCCGTTACTGCATTTTTGCATATGATGAATCAATCTTGCAGATAGATCACCATATGGGCCGGATGACAAAGGGAGCCTGAACATTGGCCTAGATGGCTGTCCCATTTGAAAATTTTCTAAGACTGAGCAAGTTCAGGTCAACATCGAGGTATTCAACAATCATTTGTTTTATAAATTTTCATTCAGAGGACAGATGAGCTGTCTGAACAGAAATGTCTTTACACGATCGGCCAGTGTCAAAAGGTCTTTAGGGCGGCAAAAAAGGTTGGATCGACCTTTCCTATCATGGTCTGCTTTAATCTTATAATGTTTTGTTATTGGTATGCTGTGGTGAGTAAATCGTAAGAGTTACAAATTCTTCTAACACCAAACAGTAACCTTTTTGACGTGTTCCCGAGACATACTAACAAATCTTGTTACGATTGGCAATGCCGGTTTTTTTCAAGAAGCTGTCGAAAAGCCGATGAACGAATTAGCTACAATGCTTGTTTTTTATCAGCAGCTTTTTCGATAACCTGTTGCAAATCGTAGTTATAGATTGTCATGCAGCAATGAAGTAAGATGGTTTTAATTTGTAACAAAGGCCGTCCCTTATCAGTGCCTAATTCAAGTTTTTTTCCAAGACCACTGAAAATCTTAGTGTATTCGCTGAATGCCCTTGATACCCAGTGTGATAGATAAGCGCCTCAACAGGATAAGTATCAAAACCAAATGAACCTAATTTTTCCCCACTGATTCTTTTTCCAACACCACTTTTTAAATTTCCAAGACCACTGTTAGTGACAAATAACACTCTAAATTAGGCACTGTCCCTTATTATAAAAAAGCGTTTGGCTCTTTCTAAAATGAACAAAATGAACAACTTTCCATAAAACCTAGCGCACGCGGTAGACTTTTGTCTTTGAAAGACGAAGATTTTTGTCTCTAGCATTCCAAAGACAGAAATCTGCCGAATGCGCTTGTCAAAGACAAAGGCAAAAATCTGCGGGTCCAAAAGACAAAAATCTTTCGAATACAGATTGAGTGGCCAATAAGCGACTAAGTTTTGATCATGTGAAGATGTTCTCTTGTAACTTCCCGCCAAGCAATTTCCTGTCTGTGCTTCAAGGACGAAAATCTGTCATGTGCGCCATCTATGAAGGCAAAAATCTTCGCCTTTCAAAGAACGAAAATCTGCCGTGTGCGGGTTAATGGAAGCCAAAAATTTTTGTCTTTCAAAGCAAAGTTTGCCGTGTGCGGTGGGCT